TCGAACAAAACCGAAAGGTTTCAAATGGCCTGATGGAGTCAAAGAAGTACCATTACTCGTTAGAATTGATAAAGAAAGTGTACATTTCAGAGATGGTTCGTCTCACACGGTCAATGCAATTATTTTTTGTACAGGATATGTTCATCATTTCCCATTTCTCGACGATAATCTTCGTCTTAAATCAACGAATAGTCTCTATCCAGCTGATTTATATAAAGCGATTGTTTGGGTGCATCAACCTCGCCTACTCTATTTGGGTATGCAACGTCTGACATTTAGTTTTAACATCGGCAATGTCCAAGCTTGGTATGTACGTGATCTTATTCTTGGGAAAATAAGTTTACCTTTAACGAAAGAGGAAATGCTGAATGACATAACTCGCTGGCAAATAAGAGCAAAAGCCGTACAGACTTTCTCCGATTATACCCTATTTAACAGAGATTATGTTCAGGATTTAATCGACATCACCGACTACCCACGTTTCAATCTCAATCAAATGGTACAAATTCTACTTGAATGTGTTCAATCAAGACTCGAGAATCTTCTTACCTATCGAGAGAAAACCTACGTTTCAACTGTGACCAATACTCTAGCAAAACAACATCACACACCGTGGCTTAGAGAAATGGACGATAGACTAGAAAATTTTCTCGAAAAATGAATTATCATTAGCCAAAAAAAACACTTGCAACCTAAAATTGTTTTTGAAATATGATAAAAATTAAACAGAAGAATATAAATAGAGTTTTCGAATGTGGATGTGAGTGGGCGTTTTTGTATGGATTGAAGTGTAAGTATGAGCTTGGGTTGCCAATGTGAAGTGTAAGTGTTGGTAGTTGTATGAAAAAGGAAAGATAACCGTCAGTCACATAAAACTCTTGCTCTCCCGACATCTCAAAAGAAATCAAATAAACTAAAACTCATGCAGCAACAAAGTGCAAAAGAATAACAATGATAACGACGACGATAAAGATAACAGGATGTGGTTGTGAAACTTCTTTCATATAGACATTCATAATTAGATACATATCCACAAGCACATCAGCACTTACACTTACTCAAAACTGTAATCTATACGATTTGAAATCTATGTCAACCTTTCGATAATTCAATTGAAAATATTTACAGTATCCAAAACCATTGAAATATATATATTCAGTTAATTATTTGTGATACAAATATGTTTAGAATTTAGAAAAAAAACAAGAATTTATTTTATTTTAATAAAAATTTCAATAATGATGAAAAGTTCATCGAAACTTTTTCACGTAAATGAATTTAGAATACAATAAACAAATTTTGTCTAACATCTGATTTATTAAAGAAAATATTAAAAAAAAATTATTTTTGAAAAAATTTATTTCTAAGTTTAATATATACAGTATTAATATTTTTTGTTGTTGTTTAATTCATATTGATAATTTTAATGATAAAATAAATAGATTTAAAAAATTCTTTCAATAAACAATATATTTAATGAAGAAAAACTTCATAATGATGTTTTTCAAGAAAGAATTAATTTCATATGAAATGGAAAGAAACTATCGAAAAAATATATGCTACTTTCATTTGTATTAATTTATTATACATATATATTATTTTTCTAATTTCATTTTGAAGACAAATTAAAACTTGAATGTCTTATACCAATTAAAAAAGACTAAGGATGAAGTTTTACTGAACTAAAATTAGAAGTTGATGAAGAGTTTCGATATGTTTATCGCAACGATATTATCATGACGCTGATAGTGTGAAATATATTTTGAAATGATCATCATGACAACCGTGAACTTCTTTTCGGGATGTTCTAATCCAACTGGGATGTATGAAGTTGTCTCAATAACCAAAAATATGTTATTTCAAGAGTAATTGAATCTTACAGATTGGCGTCTATTAGATATCTAGTTCAGTATAACAACAGCAATAGATTTTCATCCATGATAAATTTTTCTATTTGAAAGATTTTACTTCAAATTTGACAAAAAATCAAAAGAATAACATCTGACTAAATAAAAAATAAAGTTTTAAATAGTAAAATTCTTTTCTTCTACTAAACGTAACACAAATCACTCTTTTTTCTCAATTGTGACTACTTACGACATCCCTTTAACTTTGTCCGATCAAGTTAAAATTTTTACCATTCAATTCTCTCGAATTCACACAAATACTTGTTGATTTTTTCGCTGAAAAGTCAAAACTTTTTTGACATAAAAGATATGTTTGCATTTTGATTTTTAATAATAGCATACGTTGATGGTTACTGTTTCAAAAGAAATTTGATTCATTCAGTTATATAATGTTTTGTATGTAATATTGAACCAACACCCATAATTGAAGAAAAAGTATTAACAAAAATGAATAATGACATATTGTAATTGTTGATAAACAGGAGAGACAAGGACATTTTGTTTTATATAAAGAAATTTTTTTAAGATGACAACAACTTTATCTTTTTGTTTTCGCTTTACATTATATGTTTGCTATTCATGGCAGAAATATTTTGCAAATGGAAGAATTACTTGGAAGTTTTGAAACAAAAAAACATTTGTAGAAATATCCAATATCTTTTGAAAATTCTATATTTTATCCAAGATTTGGTCCATGGACATTCATTGTAATATCGAATCAGTCTGGCTCAGCCTAAGTGTGGGTATGAATGGCTACAAGACGTAATCATAGCGTACATCGACATCCACATCCATACTTTCATGAATCCCAAAGATCACTGATGCTATTCATGAACGCTTCTATCTATCCTTCGTAAGTGATATGCTTGGGTATAATGTTTTCATTTACACTTTCAGAAAGGGTTTCGAAGATTATATTAAGAAATTTATGAAGCTCATGATTGCTCATGAGGAATCTATGAAAACGCAACGTATATCAATCCATTTAAGCGTTTATAAATCTCATAAATCCATTTGTAAAACTTTCACAACGAATAATTGAAGCTAGTCAGAAGCCCTTTCATAAACCTTTTGTTACGAAATTTATCAAAGAATTAATGAAGATTCCATAAATGGTTATAAAAGGCTTTGTATATGTTATACTTTTATAACTCTTTAAAGACTTATGATGCTACGGTTTTTTTATAGTGCATCAATCCTTACATTCATAATACCACACCTACGCCCATAAATCCAAACCAACACTCACATCTATACACATAACAACGCCCAGAAATTCACACCAACAGTCACATCCACAAAAGTTCAACTTCAGAGATATAAATATTAACTATTATGATTGATTATTCTATTTTACATTGATAGAGTTCCTTCTACCCATTGATATTGATATAAATATAAAATTCTGAGCCTTTACTTGTACAATATTCCTCTTGTGCAACAAATGATGTCCTCAATCGTGAATGTCAAACTGCATAAAACTTCATGTCTTTAATGCCCTGTTGATAGGTGAAACTAACTGAAGGATGTCGTCAATTGATCTTGTCAATAACTACATTATTTGCTTCAGCTTTTGTGCGTTCACTGTTTGATAAATCTATCCAGGACAAATAACTTGTACATTCGACTTGGCTACGAGTCGCACATGTGTTTACATATTGGATTACCTGTTGGTATTCTTTCAATGTCATTTTTTCTTTCAGCCATCCTGGTTCAAGTCTAGAATCAACATTGAAGTAGCCAGCCAGATCCATCAATCGAATGATTCCACCATTAAGCAATTCAACCATAGGTAGATGCAGTGGTAAAAGTTGACTTCTGCCTCGAGTTCTTTATAGATATAAACAAACGTAGCGACACCACTGCCCATTTTTTCTTCGATACAGATCTTACGAACGCTGAATGGTTGACATTGATGTAGTGGTAACTGTGAACGCACACTGTTATCCTTTCATAGGCAATGATGTTGAGAGCTTGACAACGTAAATAAAAGCAGAACAAAGAGAAAAAATCGATATTGAAGTCAACACTAGTTTCTTTTATCCGTTATTTGAATTGCATTTATGCTGCACGAGTTCCATTCAGACGTCGTTTTTTGGGTTATCACGATAGCGCTCCACATACCTTTGGGTGTATACAATTTCTACCCTAGTTACTGCAATGCAGAAGAAAAAAGAAGACACTACCACTTGCCAACTTTTTACCTTTATAATCGATTGATTTATTAGTTCTCTCTCAAATAGGATGCCACCTTTTCACCTTCTCATATACAGTCGTTTCTTATTCATTTTCAGTAAATGAAGCAACAAATATTTGCCTATTTGAGATTTTAGCTAAAGTGAGTTAAACTTGTAGTCGCTTCTATTATCAGATATGGCGAATAGCGCTGTGGTAGATTCATTGAAGCAATCCGACAACTTGTACTAATTGTTCTCAACTAAAAATAGTATATAAAACAGACTAATATATCTGAGTATCGAATTTCAAGGAACGAATTCTTTAATGAAATATTCAAATGAATGCTTTTTGATTATTTTCTTGATGAACTATTTAATTGCACACAACATAATTACAGTTTTCCGTGTTATTGAAGGATGAAAGTAAGAGTGTGAGTGCAAGTAAGTTTCTTTTCATATAAACATACACTCACACTCTTCACTATTTTTTGTATACCTTAATATGTACATATGGTTAGATATTGAGAATATCAAGAAGAGGAAACAACATCGAAGAAAAAATATGATCTAATATAACCGTCATATATCATAACAAACGGATCTTATCGACATTTCATTATTATAATATTAATTGAAGAATGATCAAATATCATAGCAAAAATAGAGCATTGATTTTACTATTAGACTATAGAGAGAAAAGACAAAATGATTTGCATTATAATGATTTGATTCTTTACATTATCAATAAAACTAACCATCAATACAGTCATAAAAAAATGATTAAAAGAATAACTTATGAATTTATTTTTATTGTTATACTTTATCAAATCGATTGTAATATTTTAGTTTATAATAATAATAAAAAAAAAAAAATAATCTTGAAATACAAAAATATCGAATAGTTAAAATTTCAAAACAGATCAAAATGAAATATAATTTGGATAATCTTCTATAACAACTTTCTGTATTCAATTTCAATAAACCAATTATCTTTTCTTATTAATCTTTTTACAATTGTTCTACTTCATTATTATAGATTTTTAAAAAATAAAATATTCAAATACAAAACATATATTATTTGATTATCATACACTATATATTGTTCGAGATTTTTCTTTTTATTAAATTAATGATTCAATTTAAACAATTATTACTAAAACTTCTATTAACAATAATTAAAATTCAAAATATACAAAACATAGTTTAAATAATTTATCAAAATAATTTTTCGTACTAATTCAATAAAATTTCCAATCGATCTCAGCATCTCAATATTCACTTCTTGACGATGACGAGAGGGGAAAAAGTAGGCGGAACATAACCTGTATGGGATAGTACATTGATAAACGTAGGTGGTCAAAGCAATCAGAAACTAACTGTGCAAAATGATGTCATTTGTCTTATTAACATATTTCTTTCTTTCTTTTTTTTTTTTTTACATTAATAAAGATATGACTCATCGAAAAGATAATAGATACCAATACATTGATAATCAAAGATTAAATAAATAAAAAAAAACATTTCGTACACTACTAGCTTAGTTATCTTCATTTTTCTTATTTGTTTATAGTTGCGCGTGGCATACTTGTATGCTGTCAAGTGGTTAGCTTGTTGTTCATAAACTTCCTCTTCTTCTCTTTTATCTTAACCGCATTGACTATTATCAGCAGGAAAGAAGCTAATCGATATTAGTCATAACGAATAAATATAATTCTCTCGTTGACACTACCAACTAAAATATAAATCTGTATATATTTATGTGTGTTATGATCTTATTAGCATGAGTTTAACAATTCATTGTGCTATATATTGTGATCACACTACAATGAGATATATATATTTATATTTATAGTGGATACAAAATAAAAATAAAATAGATCCTAACACCTGAATAAGACTTGTCAAAGTGCATCGTCTCATCACACTTAACGAAGCTGTTAGTTGTATTCAAATTGTCTTGATACATATGGTTTATATGCACATTTTGAAAACTATATCGATGATGCGTCACATAAATAAATAAAAAACAAAAAATATCACCAAACAATGATTAGAATTCAATATGATTTAATCTATTAGTTTTTTTTTTTTGCATAATTAATCAAAAAAAAAAGAAAAATCTATAAAATTGAATATATAAAAACGTATTTAGCAAGATCTTTTTTCTTTACAGTTTAAATTTATAAATTGTATCTTCATTTGAATATGCTTTTCGAACCTATCAGATAGCTTTTTACGATATCAAAATCTCAAATCAATTTTCGAGCACTTAGCAACATTACATTCACACTCAATTTATATTGACGACCAAGTTCGTTGTCATCATTAGTTCTTATCACACAGTTTAGGTCTTCAAAATTTTCTTTTTTATTCATTTATGTGTGAATATATATTTAATTCACCTATCGATCACTATTATTCTATTACCATTTAAAAAACAAAAAAAAAAAATCCTATTAAGTTTAAGTGTTTATGCTTCGATGATGCATGGAAGCGAGAAAGGCAATAATAATGAAAAAAAAAAAAGAGCAATGTCATTTTTTTTCTTCTTCTTCTTCTCTTCGTAATCAAGAGAGAGAAACAGATGACACTCAAAATTATTTTATAACGGATGGCACCACCAATTGGCATCGACAACGAAGAGAGAGAGAGAGAGAGCGAGAAGAAAAAAATGACCCTTGCTGCGATTTCTTCGATATGCACTATCAGACACATCACTTTCATTATTACATACATTGACATTTGTTAATAATCAAGAATACGCACAGGTAAGATTATATACATGTGTCCTTCTTCGAAACAAAAGACCAAAAAAAGAAAATGTTGCGTATCTAATTGACTCAGTTGAAGAAAGGAACTAATCTATTAGTATCGGGTTAGGTTGTTATTGTTATGCACCAGCTTATTTTTTTTTGGTATTACTAGAACGAAATGATGCTTAGTTTACAACATACAAATATGGATACAAAATCGACTAGTGATGAAACATTATCAACATCAATGGTATCAGAAATAAATGATGAAAAAGAAAATATTCCATTATGTACTTATTGTCGAAAATCTTTTGCTAATTATTCTAATTTAAGACATCATATACAAATTGTTCATTTAAAAGAAAGTAAATGGGATTGTATTAAATGTGGAAAGGTAAAAATAATTTTTTTTTTTTTTTATTTAATCAAAATATTTCTCTTATTTTTTATTTTTATTATTATAATAAAGATTTGTTCATCAAAATCTAATCTTAAAGTACATTTTCGTACACATATACGTGTTAAACCATATACTTGTAAATATTGTGAATATGATTGTATGCATCATTCATCAATAAAAGATCATCTAACAAAAAATCATCCTGATAAACCACATACAAGTATTGAACCAGGGTAAGAATTTAGAAAAAATGAATATTATCATTAAAGATTCCAGTGTTTTATCCAGACGGGTGCCCGGGGGGGCCGCGCCCCCCGAAACTTGCGATCATCGTACTAAAAACACATGGCTTGCTCTCCCGAAAATAATTTTTCGCTCCCCCGAAATTCCAAATCGCCCCTCCGGAGAAAAAATCCTGGATAAAACACTGAAAGATTCACATAGGATCTTTTAATAATATGAAAATGAATCTTTTTTTGTTTTTGTTTTATATAGATATAATTATAATTCACAAGCTGTTCCTGAACCTGATGAATTTAATGCTGTTGATTTTGATCCAGCAAAATTTGTTGAACAACAAACACAATGTAAACAACGTCAATCACTTATTGTTAATAATAATGGTACATTAAAATATACTCAAACAATGACAACAACAACAACAAAAAATACAACACATTCAAATAATCATATAACAATAACAAAACCAAAACGTTTTCGTAGTGATACAAATTTATTAGAAACATCTGAAACATCATCATCATCATTAATAACAACACCATCATCAACATATCCATTTATAAATCCATCACCATTTTCATTATGGCCATTTAATCTTTATCATCCATCATATATTCCAACTATGATGAATGCAATACGTTTATCATCATTATCAAATTCTATTATACCACCAATTCATGAAGAAAAACATTCAAATAAAAAAAATATTCGAAAATCATTTGAAATTGAAGGAATATTAAATTTATCATTACGTGATAATAATAATAAACGTAAAAATTTATCCGATACACTTTCAAGTGAAGAAGATGATTCAATTTAAACTTTATTTGTCTTTTCTTTTTCGGTTTATTTTTGTTTTTCTGTATACAAAAAAGAAAAAAAAATATACATTAATAAAATTTAGCAATAAATAATTAATTAAAATTTTTTGTTTTTATATTATTTTTATTTTCAACTGGTAATAATGTTGATAATTCATCATTATTCAATGATGAAAATGATGGATAAACAATTATAATTAAAAATGTAGCAAATAAAACAATAATAAACATAAATGATATCATTAACCATATTGCTGTTAATAAACTTCCAGCAAATAATGGACCAATAACAGTTGCTACATTAATAACAAAACGTTGTATACCTTGACCAATACCTTGTTGATCATTATTTGTTTGTTGTGTAAATAAACTTGTTGTTGTTACAGCAATTAATGGTAAAGCAAATATATCTAAACCAATAAATACTAAAAATATTGGTAAATATTTTTTTGAACCTATTTCAGAAAATGGTAAAATAATAACACCAATACAACAAGCTATACTAAGAAGACTATAACCAAATAATAGAATTGCTTCATCACGAATTTTTTTTGTTATAAAATGTAACATAATATAAACAAGTGTTATTTCAATACCAGCTATAGCAAATACAATTGATACTTGTAATTCGTTCCAACCAAATTGAATATTTGTAAATGGTGTTATAGTTGTTTCAAGTGCTGTTTGATTAAAATAAGCAATAAAAGCAGTTATAAGAAGAATCTAAACAAAAATTTTTATCATATTAATTTTTTTTTGTTTTTTTTCTAATAGAGAATATATTCGAATTAAATGAATTTTGATAGTTTGTTTTTCAAGAAAAAAAAAAAGAGAAGAAGTATATTATAGTATAATTTACTTATTTTTCTTGTATCAGAAACAATTGGTAATAATGTGGAATAGAATTACAAGTGATAAGTTTCTTGCGTTACTAATATCAGCTGATAAACCTCAATGAATCATTTTTTCACATTTCTATTTCACTATTTTGTTGATATATTTGTCATAGTCTGTAATCCTATAGCCGCATGAATAGCGATGAAAACTTCTTCGTCAATATCTAGTTATTTTTATAAGTTTTCTTTCTTTTGGCATCTATCGATGCGTATAAGACTTCGTAGGATTTTAAAGTCTATATTATTCCTTACGTCTTTGTGCAAGACACACTATAGATAATACAAAATGATAAACTATACTGATGAACAATGATTTTAATTTGTTTCAATAATATAAGTTGGTGTCTAATTTAACATTTGAAAAATCTTTAAATTTAATATAATGATTCTACTTCTATCATCTTAGAAAATAATATCTTTTTTTTTCAAGGAAAGTAATTTGAAAGCCTAACTTTTTCATTGTACTCTGGAGTATTGAAGTCTCACTTTTTCTGCTTTGTGTTAAAACCGCTAAAAAATAGCTTTTTAACCACAGTGAATATTTTTGTACTTCAACTCTTTTGTTTTTTTTCGAGCATAGATATATAACTAATCAAAACTTATATCTCATTGGAAAAGCATTAAAACAAACATAGAGCTAAATGTACCCACGGAAAAATTCTTCCGAAAAACAACTGCGGTTTTCGCCGGTTTCAAAAACTGCATAAACAGTCTGACTTTCGTAGTTTTTTTCTTGAAAAATTTTTCCATGGGTGTAATAAAAGCTTTGTGATAACACTTTCTCTATTGCCATAATTAATTATTCTTTGTCAACTAAAGATTTTTCCAGATGTTTAGATTTTTAAGTATGAAAACGTTTTTTTTTTCTTTTAAACATAATCGAAGAAAATTCTTAACTTTTGACGTTCGTCTAATTACATTTAGTGTCCAATGTACACAGTATCTCTATTACTTGTAAACTTTTAAAAAGAAAAATTTAAAAAAAAATCCTTATAACATACTATAATCGTTGGTTTTTTGCATGTCACAGAAATACGTTTACATGTATCAGCTAATGAGCTACAACTCCATCTTTCTGATTGTGATTTTTGTTCATTCTAAAATAAGACGAAATTTAATTTTTTTTGTTCATATTTGATTTCAACTTACTATTGCTCTTGGTATATCAAAAAAGAAAAAGATTGTTAAAATTAATGTTATTGTCCATAAAAATGCCATGAGTAAACCTGGAGAATTATATACTGTTACATGAAAACCAAGTATTTTAAAATCCATTTTTCTACAAATAAGTGTAAAACATGGACCAGCAAAAAGACCTATTTGACGACAAGCTAAAAAAAACAATAGCGAGAAAATAATTGTTTTTTTTTGTTCTATTAAATTTATTCTAATGTCTAGTTTTTTTTTTTTTTTCGTTACCAAGTATTTTTGCAAGAAGTTGTGTTCGTTTTTCTGGTGTTGATCTTCTTGATATTTCTGCTAATGTTGGTGGCTAAAAAAAACAAAACAAAAATCAAATTAAAAAGGGTACAAATTTGTTTTTTGTTTTTTTTCATAATAAATTCTTACCACTAAACCCATTCCAACTCCAGCAATTACTCGAGCTATAATAACGACATAAAAATGAATACCAATAAAATAAAGCAAATTTCCAATTATTTTAAATCCAATGCCAACTATAGCAAGATATTTTAATGAATAACCAATATCACTCAAATGTCCAAATATTAAACCAGCAATCGAAGCTGATAATGCAAATCCAGCTAAAAGTCCACCAATGATAATACCACTATGTTCTAATTCTCCAAATGAATTAAGATAACCCCAAGCTGTAGGTAATATAATAGCATAGTCAACACCTAGAACAAAAAAAAAAATCATTGATTTAATTTTTTATTTTATTTAAAAAATTTGATACCAATTAGAAAAGCAATAAGACCAATAATCATTAAAGTTCCTAATCGTTCACGACGTTGTTTTGGTGTTAATGCATTTATATCATATTGTAAATTTTGATCAAGATTTTGATAGTTATCAGTAGATATTTTAGAATTTTTATTATTAGAATCTATTCCTATTGAATGAGAAGATGATGATCGTCTTTCTGTTAAAGGTTCATTATCATTTTTTTCTGATTGTTCATCATTTATTATTTGGTTTAAAGGAGTTTGATTATTTATATCATTTGTACTCATGATAAATTACAAGTAATAATTTCTAAAAGAATAAAACATTGTACATATTTTACAGACATTAAAAAACAAAAAAACAAAAAATTAAGATTATTCGTGAATTTATTTTATTTTGTACTATTTTTTAATATAATATGCATACTTTTTCTGTACTAGTGATCCTAAGAGATTGTATCTTTTGGGAAATACTACTAAATTAGTCTTGTTCTACATAAAAAAACAATCTTATCTCAACGAAAAACAAATTTTAGAGAAATAAATAGTTCTATATCAACAACTAAAAAAAAAAAAGAAAAATAAAAGCTCAGATTTATCTAAATCAACAATCAATTTTTCTCAAATGCATCGTAATATTTCATTCTATTATATTCTATCTTTGACATATAAATGGAATAAAAGAAAACTATCGGAAGTTAGAAATGAAAAGGACATGACATTCACATAAAATATGTAAAAACAAAAAGCTTAGACATATTTTTTTTTTCTAACAAAGCCTATATCAAAAACGAAAATAACATAAAAATAAAAAGGCTAAAGAGTATTTAAAATTTTGTTCAATACAAATTATTAATACCACATTCGCTTCTAACATATGATAAAATACTAATAAAATTGTCTCGTTTATTTTGTTTTTTGATCTGTTCATCGTTTACAACAAATACCATTACAGAGATAGTTAAAAACTTGATGAGAACAAAAAACCTATTTTTTTTTATCATATTTTTACAATATTTTTCTTTTTCTATACATCTTATCATACGATGATGAATATCGATGATGCGTGAAACTGTCCACGTGAATAAGCATCTATAAATATTAATATATGTCAATTGTATTTAGCTTATAGAAGAAATAAAAAAAAAAAAAACTAGAGGAAGAGAAAACGTTTGAAATCCATTGTATTATATTGATAAAACAAAGATTTTCTTATGCATATATATATTTACTTAATAATTCTCAAGTATTAATAACAACGGATAGAAGAATAAAACAAAAAAAGAAAACCTTATTTTTCTATTATTAAAAGATAAGAATAGAATAAGAATAATTTCCGTTTTATAATCATTCTTAAACATATCGGAAATGGTTTTACTTAAATATAGTCACGAGATTCTTGAGCACTAAAAGCTTATGCATTAAATACTATAGAATAATATTTGTATTGAACAAAAATGTAGGAATTAAGTCAATAATGAACATTTTATATATCAACATGTATATCTAGTATTCAATTATCCTAAGCTATAGAAGTATTGAATCAAATAATATATATGCATCAGTGATTCTTGCCTATTTCGAACTTATTTACCTCTTTAGAGTTTAGTTATAACGAAATATATTGTCAATCATATCTACATACATGACCTATGATACACAACACTATAATGAATCTACTAAACAATCAGTGTTATAAATAATAAACAAATAAAAAATAATCATAATTATACACATTAGTTTAAAATATTGTTCATGATGACTTAACTTATTAGACAACAAAAAAAAGACATAACATCAAAGAGAAAATTGATAGATTCAATACCTGAAGAACAAAACTTATGTAAATTTTATTAATTGACTGTATGTAATGAAGAAAAAAAAAATGTCATCTAATGAATATAGACGAGAGAAAAAAGAAAAGCAAGATTTTACATCATTATATGAAAAAATTGTGAATGCACACTATTCAATTATAAAAAAAAGAACAACGGTATGTTAATGAAAGGTACGTGTGTGTGTGCATCGATCGAGAACAAGAAAAGAAAAAAAAAAAAAGAACAATCGTTTGATATGAACGGAAGACAAAAAAAGAAACTAGTAGATATATAAGTACGGATAATCGTAACATTAAGTTTTGACAAATTGTTGTTAATAGAAGAATCAATTCATATAAATTAATATTAAAATATTTTCATAATCTATGACATATGATTTGATTTTTATATGATAGTTTTGTTTGTCTTGATGAATTAAGAAGTCAATATGTTTATGTTCACTTTGTTTCAACATATACTCATGAACAATCTTTTCATATTCATAATACAGATCTAAAATGATTGACTGTAATGAAGGTTTAGTGAAATCTCAAAACTCAAGTTCTCATTTATACAACGTATTATCAATATAGAAGAAGAAGATTATCGAATTTCTTTTATTGTGTCTTCAAGAATCAAATAGTAGAATTAGTAAAAATGAATTTATAAATGTTTAGCCTCAAATCATTACTTGTTTAAAAGTATGGACAACCTGTCAAAACCCTAAGTTGAATATTGACGTGAATACTCAATAAGTTAACTATAACTATTCATATATATTTAAATGACAACGTCTCGCTTTCATAAGTTTATACAATATAATTAGGTTGCAGATGAAAATATGAATATTTATCCTGGATGACTTTATAATCTTATCAGAAGTTGTTATGTTTTTTAACATTTCCACAAAGATGAGTTTCTTGAAGAGTTATATTTAATATTCTACAAAGAAATGACTTTTTTGTTCAAAATTATGATAAAAAGCTTTTTCTTTTGACATATATTTGATGACATCTCGGAAAGGAAAAGCCATAAGTACAAACACGTTTACAAATTTCCTAGTCTCATTAAAATCTATTTATAGTTAGAAGATAAAATTATATGTCGGTATATCGTGGAGAGTCCTTTTTTTTTATTAAATTACAAAGAAAAACTTTACAAAGACTTAATTTAATATTTAACTTATTCTTTTTCTTTTGTTAATTTCAACAATTTCTAGTAATTTAAATTTGATTTTTTTTTTAAATCTGTCAATTATTGATATCATAATATAAAAACTCTAAATTTTGATTTTTACTTTTACAATCAATAATTAATTATAATTAACAAAAAAAAAAGAACGCAAAATGCAATATAATACTATATTTCTTTTTATATTTTGTATTCTTGTGTATATAGACATCGATACTTGACCTAAATCAGCTGATGAACCAAGATAAATATCACAATCACAAAGTTGTCTACTAGACCGAAAAAAAAACATATAAAACATTTACTTGTAAACTATAGAAAGAGAACTTTCTAAAATTTAATGAATGCATGCTTTAATAATTTTATTCAAACTTGTTTACATAAGCATAAAGTTTTCTATAAAAAAAAAGTGAAAAGAAATATAAGATGCATGAAAGATGTATGTTTGTTAAGAGGCCAACGAAATTCTTTCATTTCATACAACGCTCGATAATTGAAAATTGAAATACAAGAAATGAAAAATAAATAACAAATGTTCAGTTATATTACCGATAGTAGTTATTATATCAAAAATAAGATGGTATATATTCAGAGACCTTGAAAATGGAGAGAGAAAGAGTGTGTGTGTGTATCTATCTTCATCATTATTGAAAATTATTTGTTATCGTTCGGTAAGTCTTGCAAGATTATTTTGTACCTTTGTAAGACAATGTCAGAAGTACACTTTTTTCTCTGTATTCGAGCAATGCATTAGATTTTCACATTGTATATCTGATTTTTCACATACAATTCATAATTACTACAAACTTGCACTTATATGTGAGTTAAACATATGTTTATATCAATAAAAGTAATCTATTTAATAGCAACTGTAAAGTATTACATAATCATATATAGGTTGACATATGACCGATTATGTTCTTTGCTCTTTATGGTAATTGTCATTTGACAAGTGTATTTGTCTAAGTGACCGCTCATTAAAATCAACAGAATTCGACAAAGTTTCATTTCTTTTCTCTTCGTTTTTTTTCTTTTTTTTGATATCAAACCATTTTCATTAAGATTTTAATAAGTATTCATATTGTTTTGTTCTTGTCTCACCTATATTCAATTGTATACGTGTTTCTTTTTTTTTTCTCTTTGATTTGTATTTCGAATATAAGAGGTGCATATACTATTATTATTTCACATAAAAAAAGAATAACAATTTGTTATTGCAGTTATTTGTCAGAATCAATATATAGGAGTTCATAATCATATATGTCTAATAGCATTTTTTTACTTGCATAATATTCAATATATATATATGGGCGCGATCAACCGCCCGGATGCCCCATAGTAAATAATATTACTTCACGGGAAGTGTATATAATGAATTTTATACCAAATGAAAGCTTGTCAAAAATGAGATTGGTTGATACTAAATAGTAAGGATATTGTGAACTTTTTATTGTCAAACTTAAGAAATTTCATACATTTTTGACATAGAAAACTAAGATGTTAGTAATTCAAAAATTGAGTAAAAATTTTTTTCTGAAATATTTTTACACGATTCAATGGAGCTCATTGAGCTGTACAAAACTGCATGTATTGGAGTTTTTTATGCCATTTTTTTTTAAGATAATACAGTTTTGTAGAGCTCGACGAGCTCTATTCAATCGTGTAAAAATATTCAACAAAAAAAAGTTTTACTCAATTTTTGAATTATTGACATCTTAGTTTTCTATGCCAAAAATGTATGAAATTTCTTAAGTTTGACAGTAAAAAATTCACAAAATCCTTACTATTTAGTATCAACAAATCCCATTTTTGACGAGCTTTTATTTGGTATAAAATTCATTATATGAAGTAATATTATTTTCTATGGGGCATCCGGGCGGTTGATCGCGCCCATATATATATATATATATATATGAAATATTAATTTTTTTTCTTTCAGATATGCGGACCATATATTGGCGTCGATGTTCTTTATCATCAATAATATTTTCGATTTTATTAACATGTATTATTTTTTTAACATTATTATTTTATATAAAACATATAATAATTATGTCAATTATTTATAATACATCAATTAATGATCATGATTTTAAACAAAATTCTTTAATTCAATCATCATCAATTCCTCCACAATATTTATTAATTCCATATCGTGAATTTGTTTTACGTACATCAATTTCATGTCATACATTTAAATTAATTGAACCAAAAAAAAATTTATTTCAATTTCATCCAAAATATTCTCCATATTTACATGGAATATTTCCATTTATAATACCATATTTAAATATAACATTTGATGATATAGAAAATTTTTATACAAAAATTTTAATAAAAAATCAAAATCAAACAGATAATATTATTCATCAAACATCATTTGCTTCAAATATTACATTTAAAAATATACCATATCGATATGAAAATGAAATGTGGTATCCTATTGAAGTTATATCAGCACAACGAACAGCTATATTAGTACCATTACAAGGGCGTGATTATAATGCTAAAGTATTTCTTTTGAATATACATGCTTTCGCTCGAAGACAGCTTCTTACATATACAATTATACTTATTGAACAAGTAAGTATTTAAGAATAGAAAACACTACTAAACATAATATAATTGACATGATATAAAAATTCATTTTAATATATATATTTTTGTGTACTCAAAAAGTGAGTACACTATAGAATCGGTCAGTGTGTCCGGCCGTTTACATGATAACTTTCGAAAGGAGAGTCAGATCGTGATGAAATTTTCTACACAGTTCAGTCTCATCAATGTCTCGGTCGAGTTCGAAGATGAGAAGGATCCGTCAAGAAATGGCTGAGTTATCGAAAAAATTGTCATTATTAACCAGACCATCCCTGAGGGGGGGGTACAGGGATTTTTTCAAAAAAAAAATTTTTCTCAGAATTATTCACAACATATATAAATCGACTCAGTTTTTAACGCTGATTCCGAATCTGATAATAGTTTTGAACCAAATCGTAGCTTTCTAACGAAACATCGCCTGAAAAAGGTCTCAAAATGCACAAAAACTGCATCCAGAAAGCAAATTGCCTAGATATCTCTCAGATGATAAAAAACAAAGTGAATATACCTGTTCACTTTTTGAAGTACACATAACACTCGGATTTAAATCCTAGGTTTTCGCATTTTTGTATTAATATTAAGACAAGAGAAATAAAAATAATTATATCATTTTTATTATTTAAGGTTAAACCATCTAATTCTCGATTTAATAAAGGTCGATTATATAATGCTGGTGTTCGTTATATTGAACAACAATCATTAAATATAACATGTCTTATATTACATGATGTTGATTTAATACCTGAAAATGATGAAAATTTATATACATGTGAATTACAACATCCAAAACATACAACAATACGAATTCGACAATTAAATAATACACGTAATAATTATATGCGTTATTATGAATTTTTAATTGGTGGTGTTCTTCTATTAACATTTGATATGTATAAAAAAATAAATGGTTTTTCAAATTTATATTGGGGTTGGGGTGGAGAAGATGATGATTTATCATTAAGATTTATTCAACAACGTATGTGTGTTATACGACCAAAATATGAATTAGCTATTTATGTTGGTAAGAAAACTATTTTTTTTTTTTATTCTTTAATTTTTTGAAATAATTTTTTGTTTCTTTAGCATTACCTCATCCAAAAGGTCAAGCAAATGGTGCACGTTTTAATCTATTAACATGGTCAACTATTCGTCTTAATGCAGATGGTTATAAACAAATTGATTCAATGATACATTTTGTTAATATACGAAAAATATCAACTGTTACACATCTTAAAATAGATGTTAATGCTGATAATAGTTTATATAAACCACCATTAATGAAAAATTTTCAGTCAACATATAATACAATTTATAATAATATAACAACAATTGGTAAAACTGAAACAACAACAACAACTTCAACATTTTTAAAAACTACGTCATTTTAATCGAGTTATCAAAGATAAACAGTATGTCAGATATAGAATATAGCAAAAGTTTGATTGATAAAGAAACATCAATATTTCTGTAAATCTTTAAATAAAGTGATATATGCGAGAATTTGTTTTTTTAATTATTTCATTTTTATATTTATTAAAAGTTTGTCTTTATGTTTACTTATAAATGTAATATATAAAACTTATCTTCATTTTCAATTGAACTAGATTTTTGATTAAATAGTTTGTAAAAAAAAAAATGTTTCTATATAAATATTGAATTGTATCAGTTTGATTGACCTTGATGTCTATTAAAATAAATTATCTCTTGTATTACATTTACTTGAAGAAATATTTTTATTCATGTGTTGATAAGTAAATATCTGATTAAGTCGACAATGAAAAATTTTTTAAACAATAAGTATTCAAAACAAATAAAAACTTTAATAAATATATGAAAATAAAATTAGAAAAATCTCAGTGTAAATTATTTGAAAAGTTTACAAAAATATTTATATTTCTTTTTGAAAACTCAATATAAAATTGAATATTATTATTAATCAACAATTTATTTTTGTTTATGAATATCGTACGAAATTAACAAAAAAAAAAAAAAAAAAAATTTATTTTGAAATTCTCAATCATTCAGGTTAAAATACTTTATTACATACAAACTAGCGAAAGACATCTAAATACACTAATAAGAGATAATAATGTATTTATTATTCACTATTAAAGTATCGAACTATTACTATCAATTTGTTTTTTTTTGTATCTCTACGGATAAATACTAGTGGTTTTCGTCTAATTTAAATCTCAAGGTTGTATAATTCTCTCTTTTTATGTGTATCATTTTCGTATATGTTACGGACTTACTACAAATAAATAAACACAATGTTCTTTCTTTCGACTGATAAGTAAACCTTGTGAGAATTTACAAAAAAAAAAAAAAAAAGAAAGAATGTTTTTGTTTACCATGTTTCATCAAGATAATGAAAATATTGAAGGTAAAGATATAAAAACATATTACTACTTACTCTTTGGCAATGAAACAACTTGTCTTATCTTCATATATATGAAATATATACTCATCTTCTTACATCACTGAAATTCCTTTTGGTCAATATTTATGATGATACAATATATATATATTGCATTGATTTATTAATTATAAATATTCTAGATCATCATTGTTTTTTGTCTGTGATTATTTCAAATATATATATATGAAATGTCAACAATTAATATAACACCAAACAGAAAATTAATTAATTGTGGTATATGTCATCAACAATTTGTTGATCCACGTATATTACCTTGTTCACATACATATTGTCTACGTTGTATTAAACAAATTGCATCGAATCATCCAGAACATTTTGAATGTCCTGAACACGATGGTACTATTATACTAAAAGATTCTATTGATACATTAAAAGTAAATCGAACAATACGTGATCTGATTGAACTCTTAAGTAAATAAATTAGAGTGATTTATATCTTTATTTTTGCTATTACATATTTTTTTTTTATAGATTTTAGTTCTGGTTCAATTCTATGTGGAAATTGTCATGCAATTGCATCGAAATATTGGTGTAATAATTGTACAAATAGTTATTGTGAACAATGTAGTCAAAGAATTCATAATATGAGTGCATTTCAACATCATGAACCTACTATATTAAAAGAAAAATCATTTGAATTAATGTTATGTGAAAAACATCAAGATGAAAAATTAAAATATTGGTGTTTAAAATGTGAAAGATCTGTATGTAGTGATTGTCTATTAAATGAACATAAAGATCATCAATATGAATTAATTTATAAAATTGCTAAAGATTTTGAAACAAAAGTAAAATTTATTTTCAATTAAATATGATTATTTTATAATATTAATAAGTGTTTTGTTTTTAGGTAAATATTGATTTATCTAATATTGAATTATCATTAAATAAAAATGTTAATCAAACAAATACTTCAATAAAGACAATTAAAGATGAATATGAATTAGAAAAACTTATGATTAATGATTCAATGAATTTTTTACAACGTATTATTGATGAACATGAACAAGAAATATTACAAAAACTTCGTGATATTGATATAAATAATAATAAACTTATGGAAAATTTTAAAAATCATTTAATAAATGAATTATATGAATTAGAATTACAAAAAACAACATTAGAAATACTTTCATCAAGTAAAGATCCAATTAAATTAATGCATGCTCGTCCACAATTTATTGATTATATTAATCAAAGAAATTATATATTACAAAATTTACAATTACCAACTAAACATATTCATTATATAGAAGGTATGGATTTAGTACAATATATAAGAGAAAATATTTTACAATGTGGACGAATTATTGATGGTTTAAAACAACCTAATAAAAATATAATATATCCTAATCCACAACTTGAAAAATTAATTGGTAATAATCAAACAAAATATGAATGGAATTTTCAAAAGAAAATTTTAATAGATGAAGATATAAAAATTATAGCTGATGCATTAATAACTAATACAGTAAGAAAATTTTATGTTTGTTCGTACCCATAGATCTGATAGAGATGAATGTCTACTTTAAAAAAAAAACAAAACAGGCGGGTAAAATTTTTTTTTTCAAATAACTTTTGATAGAAATAGGATGAAGATGTATCGAATCAGAGCTTCGCAGACAGAGCTGGTCTGAAGCAGCCGACATTGGGGAGTTGTTGCAAATTTTTCGGGGGTTGTCCCGGATTTTTGTAATAGCAGTAAAATTTTTTTCTAACAAAACGCAAGAAAAAATTTTCGACTCCGCTGGGAAAGAACAAAAATTTTCCATTATTGGAAGGTTGTGACAACTCCCGATCGGGCCAGTCCCGCGCCATAGCTTACGCTTACGTACGTTATGAATCTCTTTCTTTTTTCACTATATGAAATTACTACGCCAGTGCTTATTTGTTTATTCAGTGTCATTCTATGGCCTACCAGACTATGAGAGGAAAAAAGCATGTGCTCCGGACAAGTTTAGATGGCTTCGTATAGGCATGCGCTATAGCGCGAGCTTGTCTCTCGAAGTTCTGTATCGGATCATATTGTGTATATATATACACGAAAATTGTTTTAAAGGGTTTCCATCAACCTTTTTTAATAGTAACATAATCTGTGAAGTGACTATAGTGAATTTTCAATTAGTAGGTATGTATTTGAACCGCCTATGGAAGATCTACGAAATTATACAAGTCTTCGATTTTCAGGTTTAGTTAATCAAGAGTAAAAAACTTAAGAGAACTTATGATATATGATTTGATGCGCGACTTCATCTCGTCTTTTCAATGGAGAGAACCTCAATGTTCTATATTGTTTCTATCAAAAGTTATTCACAAAATATTCATACGCCTCTTCAGTCTTTCTGTGAGATCGTCTTGAACAATAACTTTGAGAATTTTCAGAAATTCAGCCTGCAATGGATCTCTTAATAACATCTTCTCGCATGACACACTGTGATGGACCTGAAGGCTTAAATAAAAGAGTGGCGAAAAAAAAAACATATTTCACATGTTTAATGCTGAATGAATTGTGCTAACAACTTTTTTTTTTCTTCATACAGACACTTATTAAACTTAATCTATCTCAATGTCAAATCGATGATCAAGGTGCACAATATCTTGCTGATGTTCTTAAACAAAATAAGGTAATCATATGATCACACCAAATTTTTTTTATTAAATATTTTTATTTACATATATATAGACACTTATTTCACTTTACTTACATAAAAATCAAATAAGTAATTATGGAGTACGTTTTCTTGCTGATGCACTTATACAAAACAAAGTAAAATTATTATTTTTCTATTAGTATTTATATTATATATTTCTTATTCTATTTAGACATTAACTACACTTGATCTCTCACATAATAATATTAATGATGAAGGAATTCAATATCTCGCTAATATGTTACAGAAAAATAGCGTATTAATACTCAATTATTCTTCTTCTTTTTTCTTTTTATGATCTATCTTTTTTTTTTCTTTTAATTTCACACAGAAACTTACTACTCTTCATCTGTCTCAAAATCAAATTGGTGATAAAGGAATACAATATCTTGCTAATGCTCTACAACAAAACAGAGTAATCTCATATGTTTTTGTTTTTTTTCTTATATATTTCTTAATTCATACAGACATTAAATATTCTTCACCTTTCTCAAAATCTAATTGGTGATCAAGGAATACAATATCTAGCCGATGCTCTCATAAACAATACGGTACTATTATTTGTTCTTCTGTTTATTTTTTTATCATACACTTTTCATATTAACATAGACATTAACAACAATCAATCTTTATTGGAATGATATTGGTGATATTGGTGCTCAAAGTATTGCTTATGCTATTGAAAATAATAGAGTAATTCTTTGATTTTCTTTTTAAATTTTTGTATAATATATCTCTTGTTCATACAGACACTAACTACACTCTATCTTTCTCATAATCGAATTGGTAATAGTGGTGTAGAACATTTTGTTAATGCTCTTAGACGAAATACAGTAAGAGTACAATTTTCTTTTTTTTTGTCGTTATCATATATTTCTTATTTTATATAGACATTAACAACACTTAGTTTTCATGAAAATCGAATCGATCAACAAACACAAAATCGTATAAAAAATATTTTGAAAACTAAAACACAAATAACAATATATTGGTAATAATTCAATACATAGGACAATCTCTTATAGTTGTTTTTTTTTTGGATAATGATAAAAAAAAACATCATAACATTCTTTTTCAAATAATGTAGTTATAGTTATTTTATATGATTTAAAATATTCTTGTAAAAAAAAAAAAAAAACATTAATAATAAATAAATAAATTTTATCTTATATTTGAAATTTATTTTTAACATCAATAAATAGTCTTGTTAGAAAAAAAAAGATCATTCAATCTTAGTGAAAATATTTTTGTACTCATGATTTTATCACAATATTATTTAATTCATCTTATATAATAAACATACAAATAAATCTTCATATTACTCTTAGTGACATAATCAAACTCGACTATCGTTTGATTGTGGACATTTTTTTTTGTTAATTAAGAAAAAATGTCCGTAAAATGGGAAAGTGTCCACAATCGGACATAGGAAAAGACAAGCTTTTAAAATTGAACCTTTATATATATTCTTATTTATTCGTTTCATTATAAAATGATAATTTTTGAATATTATACCATTTTTACCAAATTGTCTAGTAATTGTAAGTGTTCAAAAAAAACAAAGTGACTCGAACGATATGTGTGACATCTGACACTAGACTAATCCGAAGCAATAGATATTTTTAAATCGAGCTATCTACACAGATCATATATTTGTTTGCCTTCCATATTGGAAACATTTTTCTCAATCAATTAAGAAGAAAACGTTCGCTATCACAAATAAAACTCAATAATTAAAATAATTAGCATCAAAACGTTAATAAAAAAAAGAATAAGTTCGTTAATGATTGGTTACTCATCATCATTGAACAATTATCTACTGATAACAACGAATCAATCTCAATAGACATTTTTTTTTTTTTTCTTCTTCTCTCTTCATATAGAGATGCATGTCTATTCATTTTTCACATTTATAATGATGCACATCAAATTTAAAACTTATTAAGATCAAAAAGCAATAAATATGGAAAACAAGATTAACAGCATTATATCTTATAGCAAAAAAAAAACAAAAACTTCTTAAATACAATCATAAATGTAACATCATATAAAAAAAAGAAATAGTTTGCAAATTTAACACTCAACTGACAAAGTTTATAGAAGTAATCATCATTGATAGAAAGAGAATAAGCAAAACAAAAAAAAAATGATAGTAGTAGATCAAAGCATGCACGTCAAACACAACTGTATCAATCAGTCGTGTCAATACACAATATGAGTATCATCGTCTCGGTCATGGATTCAATTAGAATAGCCGAAAGGCACAAAATGTCAGTTTATAATTTGTATAAAGAGAGTGCGAGAGACAGTTCATAAATTGACGAAGAATTTATATTATTAGAATTATAGAAAAAGAAAGAAAAACATGATACATGATAAGAGAATAGAACATGATAGAGAAAAAATGGTAATGGCCATCGTGGTTTCGCTCATTGCCTATGCTAATTGAAATGAAGATGTTTGAACACGATCATAGATCAGTTTGATTTGATTAAATACAGTGATCAGTATTAATAAAAATGATGTTAAAATACTTTTTACTATTTATTATTATTCAACATTATTATAAAGTAATCATTAGTTCAGGTAAATATATATATATATATGGTATAAGAAGATGTAAATGTTTTCTTTTTTGTTTTTGTTCTAGATTTTGATATTGAACATGCTGCTTCATTTGTTCGTCGTGAAATATGGAATTGGTGGGATTATTCTGATGCAGTTAGTGGTCCAGCATCATGGGGTTTTTATTTTCCTATTTGTGATGCTGGTCGATTTCAATCACCAATTAATATTGAAAGTCGTTATTTAATTTTTGATTATCAATTAACACCAATTTATATCAATAATAGTGATAATGTTTGTTTGCTTTTTGTCGCTTTTTTTTCCCTCTTTCAAAAAAACAAAAGGATATATTTCTATAGGTAAATGGAATCCTTCGTAATGATGGACGTAATCTTTATATAATTATTCCATTTCATCCAAATTTAAATATTCATATTAGTGGTGGTCCACTTCAATATGAATATCGTCCTGTAGAAATTTATATACGTTTAGCACCACCACCAACTATAGGAGATGAAATACCACGTGGAAGTGAACATCAAATTGATAATCGATCATTTCATGGAGAAGTATAATCTTTATAAATATTAACATTATTAAATAATTTTTTGTTTAGATTCAACTTGTTGCCTATAATACAGATCTTTATAAAGATTATGCACAAGCACAAACATCACCAAAAGGAATTGCAATAATATCTAGTATGTTAATGGTAAGTAAAAAAAGAAGAACAAATATAACTGATATGTAATGAAAGAAAATATTATTTTTTTTATTTTTATTTAAGTTAGGTGGTGATACTTCAGCACAATTACGTTATGTTTTACATCATGCTGAATTATTAAATAATACTCAAAAACCATCGGATATTGAAATAAATAATCTTAATTTAAAAGAATTAATGGCTTTTTCATCAGAATATATGACTTATGAAGGTATAGAATAAATATAGTTGTTGTTTTTTGTAAGTGTATTGTTTTTTTTTGTTAATTAGGTAGTTTAACATGGCCAGGATGTTTTGAAAGTGTAACATGGATTATATTTAATAAATATCAACAAATGTTAAATACTTATTTACAAACACTTTTTACAAATACACTTCGATTTGTTAATAATCGTCGATTATTAATTCCTAGTACAAGTGCACATAGAAATGTTCGAACGAATATTGGTTATGAACAATGGTTTCGTTCTTCATCTTCATCATCATCATCAACTTGTTATCCTGTAAATAATATAATTCAATATCGAAGTAAATTATTTTCTAATGATTTTTTTTTGTTTAAAATTTTGTTTTTCTTTTTATGTTTAGTTAATAATGATTTTGGTTTTGCACGAATATAATTATAATTATTGCAAGTGTATATGTATATATTGTGTTTAGTATTTCTTGTTGTTTTTTAAATAATTCAATATTCTATTAAATCTAATTAGAAATAAAGATATTCCTCGATTGATACAACGAATATAAATTCTATAATGTATAAATAATTCTTAATCTATATTTATTCAGATTATCCAGAAATAAAAGAAAGAATAAATTTAAGACATTAGTGAATGGGATGCGCACATCTGTAGAAAAATTACATATCTATTTAAAGAAGCTGTGAGTACAATTCCTAGGAGATTCACATATGAAACATGATGTAGTTGCTGCTGCTTATCAAAGAAAGATTGTTTTAATCGCTCTTGTTTGGGACACATCTTTTCATCATTCTTTTTGTTTAATCCTTAAGGCGTGTAATAAGAACGTTCGACACAGCATCTAAACTTTATTCAGAAATCACTGAAAAAAATTTTTTGCTCAAAAATATTGTCAATTATAAAAAAAAAAAGGATATGAAATTGCAATAAGTGTTCTTTTCGATAGACAAAGCGACTATCAGGATGGTTCATTGAATGTAAAGTATGTCGAGTTTTAGATAGAGGAAGTCAGATTCCAATTTGAAAATTTTCTATTGATAGGAATCGATTCAAGGAATTACAGTTCTAAAAGTAACAATCAATGATAACTTTGAAAAATGAATAGGATATATTAGTAATACCATTGTTTCTCAAAAAGTAACAAGTAAATAATTTTCTTATTATCTATCAATACTTATCAATCGTTTCTAGGAACTTAATAATTATTAATTTTTAAAACAATGTTATCGTTCTGTTCGACCAACATGATAATTTGATGCTAATTTAACCATTTGGTTACGAGTTTTTTTTTCTATCAAGAAAAAAAACTTTTAGTTTTAATGAAAAAGCTTGAAATATGGCGTATACATGTGTGGTAGTGCTACACAATGACGCTGTGATTCTGATAATATGAAAGCAGCTTTAGAACCTGACTAAGCAATGAGCCCTGTAGGATAATTCTACTCTACTCTATCCTGAGATGGCTTAGGCTACAACCAGAGTAGAAGAGGGTGGGGTTAGTCTACGATTACTGGGTAATCATCATGGTGGCTTTTGAGACAACACCTCAGGAGTGAAGGGTTTTGCTTCGAGAACAAACGTCTTCTTCTTTATGTGTGAAGAAATTTTGTCTCAATAAAATCCTATACCGCACTGTAGTACGCCTCAGGACTGGGATGCCGTGTGACACCACTAAGTACGACCTCTCAAGCATAGGCTAGAAAAATGTTACTAAAAATTATCGTATAGAATACAGTATGAAAACTCATGTTTCTGCAGAACTCTACTCAAGCGTAACAGAAGTAGTCCCAGCAAAAGCCCAACATGCATAAATGCGGGTCCCGTAACCAAAAGGTTAACAAAATAAAAAAATCATTTGAATATTTTTTTTTTCAATCAATTCCTGTTTTGTTTTTTATTTCACATATGTTGATATATAGTCCTAATATATATGTATAACAGAGAATTCAAGAAAAAAAAAAGCATACAAACAAATACAAAAAAAATCATTAAATAGATAAACAAAGAAAAAAAAATCATTTACTTTTTCATTTTCCTATTTTCTATCATTTTTCTTTGATCTGAATGTTTGTTTTTTTCTTATTATTCACTGTATAAAAAAAAAAAGACAAAAAGAAAAAAAAAACTGTCTAAAATTGATTGTAAATAATAGATGGCATATAGTTCATTGATTGTGATATTGTTGGAATGTATTCAACTGATTGATGAATTGCTAAAAATAAAAAAATATTAATTTATTCAAATATATTTTACTAAATAAAATCGAAATAAGATATTTACGATTAGAATAAAAATGATTTGTTGATTGTTGTTGTTGGTGTTGAAATAACATTCGTTGTTGACTATTATTATAGATTTGATTTTTCGATCCTAAAAAAAAAGAAAATTACTTATCAAAAAAAGACCTTTTTTGTTTTTTTTCCTATTTACCATGTTTTGAATTAGCTAAAGAATGTTGTCCTTCAGCTATTTTCATTAAATCTTGATTTACATTTTGTCCAGCTTCTTGTAAAACTCGAACAAGACTTGGTGCTTGTTTAGCATTTTCAGATGTAAAAAATGTATATCTAACAAAAAACCAAAGAAAAATATTTTTCAGAAAAAAAAAAGGTAAAGCATACGAAGTTCCATAAGCTTCTTTATTGCGTCCTGTTCGACCAATACGATGTACATAATCTTCAGTTTGATTTGGAAACTATAGAATATTATAAAACAAAAATAAAAACCAATATATATTTATTTCTTACATCAATATTAATAACAAATTGAATATCTTGAACATCGAGACCTCGAGCAGCAACATCTGTTGCAATCAAAATAACTCGTTGTCGTCGACGAAATTCATTCATAGTATAATCACGTTGAGATTGTTGTTTATCACCATGAATATAAAGCTGAAAAGAAAATTATTTTATAATGCCGTGATTTCGCTTACGAACACTAGAAAAATGATTTTCAAATTTCGATTTGAAATCTGCAGAACACAGACTTTGAAGAGAAGAGTTTTTTTGAAACGAGATCTGAAAGGAGTGTTGAAGTATATAGGATAGACGATTTTGGGACACCCCTCACCCTCCACAGACAGTCACGTGACCCGTCCCAGACGCATCACAACCGTCTTCAAGAGACTATCAAATGTTTTTTAAAACTTTTTTTTAAGGACTTGAAATATTCTCACTATTAACTTTTCATATGTCATAAAAACTAAAACTTACAACAGGAAAACCCATTTGTTTTGTTATAAGATAAATTTCATTAACACGTCGTTTAGTTTGACAAAAAACAAGTGTTTTACCATTTTTTAATTTCATTATTTCATGAAGTATTTCTATAAATCTATTTTTATAAATAAATAAAAATTAAACGACCTTTTTTTTTTCTTTTTCTTTTTTTTTTTATAAATACCGATTTTGTTTTTGAGATTCTGTACAAACTTCAATTATCTGACAAATACTTGGATTAGCTGCTAAGATAATATTTCCAATAGTAACATGAATACGATTTGTTGATAAAAATTGATTAGCTAAATTACGAACTTCTTTTGGCCATGTTGCACTAAACATTGTTGTTTGACGATCGGACTATAAAAAACAAAAAAAAAAGTTATTTTATGAAGTAAGTCAAAGAAAAAAACAACTATACACGTATACGTTCACATATCTGACGAATTTGTGGTTCAAAACCCATGTCAAGCATACTGAAGAAAATAAATTAAATAAATTTCAAAAATATGTTAAGAAATTTATATACCGATCGGCTTCATCCAAAACGAGATAAGTTATTCGATCAAGTTTTAAAACACCTTCTTCAATAAAATCTAACAAACGACCAGGTGTACCAATGACAACTTCAATACCTATGAAAGAAAAAAAAACATATTGAACTCAACGGATTTTGTCAAGTCTTTTTTTTGCTACTAACCATTTAATAATGAATTTCGTTGAGATTCTTTTGAAACTCCACCAAAAATAACTGTTGTTCTACATTGTGCTAATTGTCCAAATTGATGTGCAACTGTATAAATTTGTTGTACTAATTCTCGTGTTGGTGCCATAATAAGAACAATAGGACTATCACCTGATTTAACAAATTCTTGATGACTAGCATGTATTATTGCTGGTAATATAAATGCTAATGTTTTTCCTGAACCAGTTAATGCTATACCAATAAGATCAAGACCAGATAATAATATTGGCCATGAACATGATTGAATAAGTGTTGGTTTTTCAAAACCACATTGAACTATTGTTTCCATAACTGGTTCTAAATTAATTGAAGATAGTTTTTGTTTTTCTTGAAAAATAATTATAAAGAATTTTACCAGGAAAATTAGCTTCATCAAAATTAAATAATGGTCGTGGAGCATTACCATCAATTGTTATTTGATTATTTGTTAAAAAATGTTGAATATCAGTCTAAGAATTTTAAAATAATAAATTTATTAGATAATCAAATTGTAGTCAAGAAAATTTTTTTCCTTATTCTTAAGTCTACAATTATAAGACTTAATTTTTGAAAAAAAAAAAATTTTATTTACAATAGATAAAATTGAACAAATATTTAATAAATTTTTGTTACATAAATGAAATAATATCAAAATTAAAAAAATTCTTTTTTTAAATCGAAGTTTTTGTCTCCGGTTATGATGAAATGTTTTTGAAAGTTTTCTCTAGGGGTTAGATTAGAATTATATATCATAGTTAATAAATCTTATTGATATTTATTCACTAGAAATATATATATATTTTAAGAATAATCAATACCATAGATCGATTTTGAACAATAGGTGATTCTATATAAAAATTTTTTTCAAAATTTGATAAAATCATTTGATTCCAATTAGGTTTTGGTGTTGTTAAAATAATTCCATTGTTATTCTAAAAATTATACAAAAAAAAAAATTATTCTTATTTCATTTATTTTATTATAATTAGTTTTCTGTTGTTTTTTTTTTTATACATATTGTTGTGAAAAATATTCATTTCCAGAATTTGAATTAATATATGTTTGATATTGATTCATTTCAAATGGAACAGCATTATAATTGAGAGTCATGATGATTTAATTAATAATAATAATATTGATATCAATGGCGGGTAGTATAGTAAGTTTACTTTTTTTGTTTGTGAAAAAAAATAAAATAAAAGATGAATAATCTATTTGATGATACAGATAAATTTGTTAAAATAAATCGAAATAAATCTAAAGAATTACAAATTAAAAATGTACTTAATCCATTTACTCGAATGTTTATTGATGAACAACTTGCAAAAGATCTTGGAATTATATTTAATGGTTATTATCGAAATTGGTAAAAGAAATATTTAATTTCATTTGACTTATTTTTTTTTTTCTTTTCTTTTAGTTATGGTGGATTAATCCCACTTGTGAGTTTATTTAATTATTGAATTTTCTTTGTTTTTCTAATTTTATGTTTTGTTTTTTTTAAGCATATTGCAGCAAGTAAAGGTTTTATTCAATATTTAACAAATGATCAAATTGAAATTGAATATCATTCAAAACATTATCCAATAATAACAAATTTAATTATTCATCAAATTTATGATCATAATCATCAATGTATGATATCATGTCAACAAGCTATTGATAAAAATTATTTAAATCTCGATTTATTATTATATACATATTCAAATATATCAATGGATATTCATGAAGCATTTTCTCGTGGTTTAATTCTTGGTGAATTACGTACAAATACAATTAAATCAAAATCAATGAATTATATTAATGAAAAACAAGATTTTGAATATGATAATATATATACATCATTAACAAATATTATAAATAGTTTAAGTGAATTTCGTAATACAATAAATATTATTGATGAATGTGAATTAACATCAGATGGATTTATTCAACATAAAAAAACAAAAAAATGTTATTTATTAACACAAGCTATTGAACTTGGTCTTGTTTCAATTAAAAATATTTCTTTAAAAACTCAAAATGATAATTCAAAAAATGTATTGTAGAAAAAAAAAATTTTTTTTTTTTTTTAATATAAATTATCATAATGCTAATCATGAATGAAAGTACTAACCAGGAGATTGAATCCTTTTTTTTTACTAAGATATCGAATTTTTAGTTTTCAAGCAAGAATTTGCTTGAAAACTAAAATCCTACCGAAAGAAAAAATCGATATCTCAGTAAAAAAAAAGGTTCAACAGTTCAAACTACTAAAGGATATTTACCTGTTGGCTAGGCTCTATCGAATTGAATATAGTTCTAACTTAAAAATGATTTATCACTTGAGGACCTTCTTTTGTAAGTTTAGTTATTTGATCTATTTATGAAGCAATTTTTAACAATGAAATTTTCTTCATCAATCAATATTTCGTACTTATGTTAATCTATATACTATAAAACTTTTCATATCAAGTATCTCAAATGAAAACTCATATAAAATATAAATTTTTGACTTACTACTACTGTTTTTCTTTTTCCAAACTATCATTAATATTAAAATGAAAATTTAATTTTTTTTTATTATTATTTAGTATTCGACAATGGTAAATGATACGACATCATATAATAAGAATATAACTTGTACTGATGATGAAACTATTCCGGTAATTTAATAGATTCCATATGTTTTTATTTGATAGATGATATTATTTTTTTTTTTTAGTATTTTTCGGATACATTTATTTTGGATTTATTAACAGCAAATGATAATTCATTAGATGAATCACAACAGGATGAAATGCACTCAACAAATATAAAAAGATTTTTACCACTGATGAATACTTGTTGAATAGACTTTTGTGACCTGTCAAATATTTATTTATTTTTTTTTGTAAACTATGGATGCTTTCGTTTGTTATGATTAGCCCACAATATAAACAAAATTTTATGAACTTTATTATTCTTACACTCTTCTCACATGATTGAAAAGTTAATAAAATGCATTTTTTTTCTATTTGATACTCTTTCATTTTATTGGACAGAAAGGAAAGCAAAAAAATAAAGAGGATGTTGTCCCGAATAATGACTAGCATAATGGTTTCAAGTAGTTATATAGTATAATAGTAGTAATAGAGTAGAAAAAGACGAATAAATCAAGATGGAATTTTCATTTGATATTAATTATATATTACCTTATGGAGTAACAATATTCAATGGAGATTATCGAGTTCTTAATAAAGGACAAGCAACTCGAATATTGTATGTAATCGAATATCATTTTATCATTTTATCGAAGTTATTTATTTTTATAGTGCTTCCGAAAAATTAACATACGTTATTGATACTATGGGTGAAGCGTCGTATAGAGTAAATAAAACGATAGATCTTAAAATAAATCATTGATATATCAATTTCTAATCTATATAGGCTCAAGGATTATCAGGTGCAGTAACAACTGCACGTAAATTTCGTATATCTGATCATCGTTTATATATAATTAAGAAAGCAAATGAAAATAAGTATGAAAGTTTTCATAAAATGTGATATATGTTTATTTTATTTTTGTTTATATTATTCAGTAATTTAGGTACTGTTATTGGTATACTTAAAGTTGGTACAAAACATTTGTATATTTATGATACAAATGGTAGAGTAAATGAACGAACTCCATTATGTGTATTAGATTTTTATGTTCATGAAAGTAAACAAAGATTAGGTTATGGTAAACAATTATTCGATACTATGCTTGAAGTAAATAAAATAAAATAAAATTTAATTTTCTTTTTTTTTCCTATTATTTTGCTCTATAGTTTGAAAAATGTGCTCCTTATGAATTAGCTATTGATCGTCCATCGAATAAATGTTTAGCATTTCTTAATAAACATTATCATCTTTCAACACCAATTCATCAAGTTAATAATTTTGTTGTTTATCCTGCTTTTTTTAATCAATCTCCTAGTGAGTAGTGTCGAAGAAGAAGAAAAAAAAAAAAACAAAATTTTAATTGAATTTTTGTGTTTTCAGTTTCTTTAAATAGAAAGCCTTCGGCATCAAAACAACATACAGAATCAATTTCATGGTTATCACCAACATCCGAAAGACAACAATGTCGACCATTTTCAGAACAAATTGATTTTAGTCGAAATCAAAAAGTGAAAACATTATCAAATGAAAATGATATCTTTGGAAATTATCCACAACCTACAACCATTCGGTATAAATGATCATCTATACACAAAAAGAGAAATATTCGATATTTGTAAAAGGAACGTTGAAGTATAGATGTAAAAAATTTGAGCTCTTTATCATCCATGCAGTGTACGTCTTCGTGCATGTTGGATGGAAAAAGAAAGTTTTTCTTGCAATGTAAAACTCAATCAATCAGTAGGCATAAACAGCATAGAATTGGGTGCTGATCCAATGTTTTCTATCAACTCGTTGAAAGAAATTTAAATTTGTTTACACAACGATGACATATATTTTCTAATGAAAAAGTTTTCTTTAAAAAAAGTTACGGGCAAGAGTTCGCCTCAGGTGTTTTGCGGTGAATAGTTCTTTAAAGCCATTTTGTTATTAATAAGATACAATTACTTTTGAGTAGAAGAATAGTGAAGAAATGTGTCTCGAGTAGATCGAATGCAATCATCATGCTATGATCAGCAACAATAATTGCATTGTGTTTTACATTTTAATTTCATAGGAATGGTACTAACAACTGTTTCTTTTAGAACTTTATCTGTGAAAGATGAACATCAACCTCTATCATACTATACAACTTCATATAATCAACATTATAATCAAACTGCTTTGTTACGTGAACAAACTAATACAAGTAAGTTATATTAAAAATTTTCATTTTTGTTTTTATCAAATATTGTATAGCTCATTCAGCGTCATATATTCCTCGAACATATTCTCAAATATTTAATGAAAACAAGTATATTTGTGATTTCTTTATGATATAATAATTGTTGTTTTGTTTTAGTCCATTTTTAGGTCTTCAACGAAATAATACTACGCCAATAATTTCTACAAATGATCAATCATCATTAATGAATAATTATCGTCGAACTACTGAAACGATTCCTCATGTATCTAAACCAGAAACACATACATCAGTTTATACATTTCCATCAATAATGAAGTCAACGAATAATTGGCATCAACAACAATCAACTATTGGTTCATCTTCATCAACATGGAGACTTTTCGGTCTATAATGATAATTTAGTTAAAATGTTTATTTTTCTACGAAAAGAAAACAAGAAGTGCCCAGTGATTATGTACATCTAAATTACATTTTTATATGTACCATTAGAAATAGATTTAAAATTAAGTGAAATATATGTTTTTTAGTTGTCTATAGGAAAACCTCATAAAGATAATAAATATAAACAAAGATGATTGAAGCATCATCTCATTGGAAACTTAAGATATTATTTATATGTAATATAGAATAGTTCGTGTTTATTTGCTATTAGCCGATCATTCAATGGGTTTTAATTGCATTGTTTTAATAGAAATGATCGATAGAGAGCTGAAGAAAATGTAAGTTTATATTAATTAGTCGAAGTCAAAGTCAAGTCGATCCGATGTCCCAATGCTGAGAGATGTACTTTATCATTTTTATATCAAATTCCATTTAACAAATAGATTTCTGAACTCATTAAAAAAGAATTTTCAATAATAAGACTATTCAGAAACACGGTAATAACATTGGCCTTATCTGCAAGCAATATTGAATCTAATGAATGTACCAATCAGAATGATTGTAGACTAAAAATACTATATCTACTTCATTCATCATAGAAAATCGGTAATGTTAACGCTTGAAACAATCAATTATTAATTCCTATAATGCAATAAATAGAAAAAAATCAACATTAACTTATCCTTGAAACCATCGATCACGCACGTTTGCTACTATTAATATGTTTTTCAAATAAATACAAAGTATGAGAGAATTAAAATCGTTCATTCTCTATTTATTTGCCGTCAACAAACAAAATAACTTTCTAGTTTACATCGAATATTGAGATAACTGTATTTGACGAACACTCTTATTGTATTATAACTATGCTAATAGCTAGCGCACTCATTTCATTTGATTCTGAAGATTAATATCGAAATGTACCATAGAAATGAATATTTAGTCATGCTGACATAATTAATCATTATTTCATATCAATATTGTATTTTTTTTTTTGTATTCCCATAGACTAGATCCATTCCGAAGAACGCGTAATCTTTATCGATCTAACCGAAACACGTGTGAGTTCTTTACGATGCTTCCTTTAAGGGTGCGTTTTTTCTCAACCTTTCTGAAATGAATTTAGTTTATCCTCTCATCTCATACTATTCGGTCTTAACTGAAATAAAGTCAAAATTGTACTCTAACATTCACCGGTTATTTCATGCAATTATAATAACTTCTTTAGTCAAATGGTGTACTATTTTTATCAAGCTGACTATTGGTTCATATGGTGTACTTAAATCGTTGATCTATTTTTTGAGACTTTCTATCCAATCATTGAAATCAGTCTGAATGAAACTATTTTCAGACTAGAACTTTACCAATACTTACAGTGGGTACCAAAATTGATCCACAAGCATCTTTATTTTTTTTCGTTCGTCTATATCTCTATAACAAAGAGATACAAAGTCATCCAATTTTTACTAATTTGTTGTCTATGACCTCTAGTATATATACAAAAAATTTCGACTCAAAATTTTCATTTATTCGTTTTTTATTAAAAAAATGACAAAAATACACGATTTTTCATCGTACCAAAATTGTTGAACAAGAACAGGAAAGGACAAATTAGTACTTCTATACTTATATATACATTTTTTTTCCGTCCAGTTGAATAATAGACATTATTTCATATATCTAATAAACGTTTTTCATTCAATTAAAACTATTTTCCTTCATTTATAAACTCGTACAACGGTATGGCTCCTACAAGAAAAGAGCCCTCTAACGAATTTCGAGAAACCATTGTAAAACATTTTCTGAATGGGGATTCTGAACATGACATAGCTACAAAAATGTTGTGCTCAAGAAATACGATTCATTCCATAATTGTGAAATACAAAAAAACCAAATGCATCGGAAATATTTTGGATCGTGGGCGAAAACGAAAAACAACAATACATGTTGACAAAGCTATTCAAGGCAAAATTAAAGTGGATCGGCGAAAATCGGCACCAACTGTAAGACAAGAAATTGAGCAAGAACTTGGTGTATTAATATCCAATCAAACAGTCCGTCGTCGTCTTCATGAAATTGGATTTTATGGCCGTGTTGCAAGGAAAAAATTATATGTGAACAAGGCAAACCGACTTAAACGTTTAAAATATGTCAAAATGCATGAAGACAAGGACATGGAATTCTGGAAAACTGTTTTATGGTCCGACGAATCAAAATTTAATTTGTTTGGCAGTGATGGAAAGGTAATGGTATGGCGGTCACCGAAAGAAGAGTTTAATCCAGCATGTACAGTACCAACAGTAAAACATGGAGGAGGTAATGTGAAAGTTTGGGGATGTTTTGCTTGGAATGGAGTGGGAAATCTGGCTTTTATTGATGGCAATATGACGGGTGAAATGTACAAAGATATTTTGGAAAAGAATTTGTTGCAATCTGCCAAAAATTTGAATTTAGGAAATCAAATGGTGTTCCAACAGGACAATGATCCGAAACATACATCTCATGTTGTGAACAATGGATTCCGTAAAAAGGCATTGAACGATTGTTCTGCCCACCGTTTTCACCGGATATGAATCCGATTGAACATCTTTGGGATGAACTTGAACGTCGTATGAAAAAACATCAACCAAAGAACCAAGATCAACTACGACAAACACTTCAGGCAGAGTGGGAAGAAATTGGATCGGATGTTACCGAGAAACTGGTTGAATCAGTTCCAAGTCGTTTGTACGAGTGTTATCGTATGAAAGGATATCCAACCAAATATTGAAACTTTCAGAAAACATTTTTTCTATATGAAAAAAATTATCGTGCTTTACTTGTTGAACAATTTTGGTACGATGAAAAATCGTGTATTTTTGTCATTTTTTTAATGAAAAACGAATAAATGAAAATTTTGAGTTGAAATTTTTTGTATATATACTAGAGGTCATAGACAACAAATTAGTAAAAATTGGATGACTTTGTATCTCTTTGTTATAGAGATATAGACGAACGAAAAAAAATAAAGATGCTTGTTGATCAATTTTGGTACCCACTGTATGTGAAATCTTTAAACAGCTTTGTTACACTCATTGTAGGACTAGCGGTGATGTCCAACAACCTGGAGAATTTAGTCCATGGTTAATTTCATTGCTGATCGACTCGTGACTTAGCATTCCTACATATGCAGACAGATTTCATTTGAGATAACTAGATTCGATAATGTTTGCATCCAACTGTTTATAGAGTTTTCGCAGACTATTCTTTTGTATTGTCCCGTACAAAACTCACCCTGATATCTATAACCAATGAATATGCTTGATGCTTCGCAGCATGTTTTGCATAGTGAATTAATTGTTTTTGTATAGATCATGTGCATTGTTGAAAGAGACATGAATAAAAAATAAATGTGAAAAAGAATGATGTAGACTAAGCAAATTTCTTTTTGCTACATTTTTGCTGAATGAAAAAGTGAGATTTCAGGTTGTTTTTCTTTAGATTACATAGAATTAAAAAGGATAATGAGAATTAATGAATACTTTTTTGGTTCAATCATTCCTAGAAGCACCTTTCTAAGTCTTAAGTAATTCTACTGAATACATAGTATGCATATGTTCTATGAAAGAAATATTCCTAGAAGTGTTATGGAGTCATTCAAGAAATTGCATGCAATTTTAATAGAAAGTTTTGTTTTTAAAAACCTTTGTGAAAAATATAGAGTAAAGAGAGGTGAATGGTCACAAGAAATAGATCTTTCGGTTTGCAGAGCGAATATTTTTTTTATTTTTTGAAGATAGAAAAACATTTTCGGTACAAATATTGTAGAGAAAACATTTTTCTATCGATCTATTTTTTTAAATTTTAAAAATCTCATCAGAATAACTATCCACACAGGTTTTCGTGAAATCTACTCTTGCCTGTGTCCATTTCCTCCAAATAGGGTAAATGGGCATTCGCAGCCATTTTTAGCATTAACAGTAAAATCTAATTTCTGACGCTACTTCTACTTGGTTTTTGGTCACACTTATGTCATTTCGTAGCACGAATATTTGTCGACAATACTATACTAATCTTAACTTCTGAACTTCAGTTACCTTCAAACACTAGTGCTTGAATGAAGAGCTCTAGAAGAAAAATCAATGCCTATTTACCCCAATCGGGGTAAAAAGGCACTAACATATATGAGTGGAGTAAATGGGCATAAAAAAATGTTTGTCTCACTTTGTTACATATTTAAATATGTAACAAAGTGAGACAAACATTTTTTTATGCCCATTTACTCCACTCATATATATGCGAGTGCCTTTTTACCCCGAATGGGGTAAAGAGGCATTGATTTTTCTTCTAGAGCTCTTAATTCAAGCACTAGTGTTTGAAGATAACTGAAGTTCAGAAGTTAAGATTAGTATAGTATTGTCAATAAATATTCGTGCTACAAAATGATATAAGTCTGACCAAAGCCAAGTAGAAATAGCGTTAGAAATTAGATTTTACTGTTAATGCTAAAAATGGCTGCGAATGGCCATTTACCCTATTTGGAGGAAATGGACACAGTTAAGAGTAGATTTCACGAAAACCTGTGTGGATACTTATTCTGACGAGATTATTAAAATTTAAAAAAACAAATCGATAGAAAAATGTTTTCTCTACAATGTTTGTACCGAAAATGTTTTTCTATCTTCAAATAAATGTGGAAACCTCGGATTTACATCCGATGGTTATGTGTACTGCAAAAAGTGAATTAGGCAGATGAGCCATCCTAGCATGTGTGGACATCAAAATTATCCTGGCAAACCTTTTCTATAAACACTTCAATTCTATTGGCTACTGCTCAACCAATAGGATTTAGGAACGAATACAGATCAGATTTGAACTCTGCGCCCTGATTTACCCTCAGAAAGGCGTTTTCCTATAACTTGATTTCTATTGGTCACTGCTGAACCAATGAGATTTCGAAGCAAGTGAATTACAGATTCGAGTTTTCCGCCCCACAAAACCTCGAGGTACCATCTCTGTGATAGGAAGACAGAGCTCTATTTATGGATCAATCAGAGCGTGGACAAAAACAGAACCAATTTCCGTTTAATAATTTTTGCAATAGGTGAACTAATCTTCTTGTTTCTTTATATTTTATATACCATTTTGTAGCTCGTAAAATTCTCTATCGAATGGTATATAATAGTTGTGGTTTTATTTGACTATGATAGGAAAAGTTGTTTACGAAAGCGGGGACGGGTCGATTTTCGCATAGGAAGCTATAGGGAAAAATGGGTATTTTTGCAATAACTCAGGAACGGCTCGGCCGATCCTTCGCATCTTCGAACTCTACCGAGATATTGTAAAGACTGAACTGTGTAGAAAATTTCATCGTGATCGGACTCTCCTTTCGAAAGTTATCGTGTAAACGGCCGGACATACTGACCGATTCTAGAGTGTACTCACTTTTTGAGTACACAAAAATAAAAAAGATATTCGCTCTGCAAACTAAAAGATCTATTTCTTGTGACCATTTACCCCTCTTTACTCTACACTGTAAATATTTTTTAAATTCTATTTTGTAGAAAATCGACTTTAAAAAAGCTAAAGCGTTTTCAAAATTGCATTATTTATTCATCGAATTTAAAATGTTCTGAAAATGCTTGATTTTCAAAACAATAGAAATGCAATTTGATTTTCTAAAAAAAATGATTTTCAAAGGAATTAGAATATCAATATAAATTCTAGAAAAAGTCAAAAATGAAGAGTAACTTTCTGGAAAATCATTGCAACAATGACCGTTATACACTGTAAACTAGAAAATAAGTTATAGAGTTTCATGAAGGAAATTCTGAGAATGCCTATACGAATTCACCGATGAATTTTTAATTCTTTGAAAATAAGATATTCGAAACATTAAGAATAAGAAAATTGATTTTCTAATTAGAAAATCAATTATGAATTCATATGGGCATTCCTAGAATTTCGGATTCTATTTAGTAATGTGAGTATTTTTTAAAAACTGGAAAATCGAATTTTATTTTCACATTATAATGAAGTATCTTTTATTAATTCTATAAAATAAATAATTTAATTTAATTTTAATTTTAATATATTCATAAACATTGAATACACTAAGTGCATGAAATAAAGTAAATTAATTTTAAATTTAATTTTAATCTAAATAAATTCGTAAACATTAAGTTCACATACATGCATCGAATGAAATACATAAATAAATAATTTTAATTGAAATGCATTGACTCACGCAGCTGCTGAAAACATAACATGTATTAACTTTTACTACAGTTGCCGAAGGAAATAATGAATGTATAACACTACTGGCCTGACTTATATAAATGAATGCATAATGGCTCCGTAGTGGTCATTTTTCAAATGATTTTCCAGAAAGTTGTTTTCATTTTTAACTTTTTCTAGAATTCATATTGATTTTCTAATTCCTTTGAAAATCATTTTTTTAGAAAATCAAATGGAATTTCTATTATTGAGAAAATCAAGCATTTTCGGGATACTGAAAATTCATCGAATGAATCATAAAACCTTAAAAATACTTCAGTTTATTTAAGATCGATTTTTGAAAAAGTAGAATTTAAAAAAAAATTACAGTGTACTGATTTGGAGCATCTCATGGATGATTGAGACATTTGTTTGTCCGAAAGAACCAGAAAAGATCATAAATATTTTCTGTTCTAGAAGTTCTGTTATAAAATGAATGGATGTACATTATCCACCACTCCTTTTATTTTGGTGATGATACTAATATAATTGTCAGTATTCATATCATCAATATTGGTATCGAATCACACCAGTAGAAAATTCTGAACGATGCGAGTATTAAGAGCCTGTCGTGTCCTTATTGCCGAATGTTTTTATGCTGTGGCAGCAGCAACAGTAGCTGTTGTTGTCGACTTTTTCTTTTTTGTTTATGACAGGCATGGTGTTTTATCAATGAAAAAATAAAATAAAATAAAATGACTGTAATATATATGGTATGTGGCAATTTTTTTTCGTTTGTTGTTGTCGTTCGAGTTGGTTTTTTCCTTTTTCGTTTCACTTCAGTGCTTCATTCATCTTTCCTATGTACGATTGTCAGTAGTGTCACAACACAATGCACTATTGAAAAAGATTATTCATTACAGTCTGTTCTGACTTTGCTAGATCAATAATATCACCGACTCTACCGATTGTCATGTGCAATAAGACTTCTGTTGCATTAAAATCCGAAGCCTGCAATATTCAGATTAGTTGAAATCTACAGAGATCCAGAATGATCTAAGCACTATTATTACTTATGCGCTTTTTTCCTCATCGCTAGAATCTAGGAGGAAGAAGCCGCAAAGACCTTGATTTAAACTTCCACTCACTATTATTTTCATCGAAAATATACATACGCTCTACAAAGTGAAAAATAGAATTTTGTACGAAGAATTTCTGGCCATTTTTGGTTTTTACAAGTTCTATATCTTCCTGAAGAAAACATCTAGGAATTTCGGGTCTATGACAACTTTTGCTGTACTTATTCAAACTTATCTGCCTTCAAAGTTTTATGATTTTTTTCATTGAACTATTCCCAAGAAAAGTCAAAGAGCAAGTAACCCTAAGACTATATTCTAGTGACATCTTTTCTTCGTCAGAAATCTCGTATCTGATAAAACAACGATTTAAACGAATCCAAATGCATGTTCTGTTTGCTTCTAACTCTTCGTCATCATTATCATCATCATCATTCATTCGTTTTATATTTCATTATTAACAATGTCGAATCCATTTTTAATTCTCTCTGATTCATCATCGACTTCAACAAATCCATATTCAACATCATCTTCAAAGACAGTTTCAATCAATAATGATTCTTCATTGTCTTCAACTATTTATAAAGATATTCTTGAATATGTTCTTCTATGTACTATCGATGAAGAACCATCATCATCACTTATTTATTTAGCTGAATTAGCTGTCGAATTACCTGACAATTGGAATAAGAATTTTATTGATCAAGCTTTATTTGAACGTCTTCATATGCCGGATCCATCAAGTCACTTATTAACATCAACAACAAAACAATCAACAATTAGAAATGATATGAATATTATTACTGAAACTCGTTGTTTACATTATTTAGCTGGATGTTATCAAAGATTATTACGACAACGTGTAAGTTTTTTTTTTTTTATTTTAATTTATCTTTTTGATTAACACAAAAGATTTTGTTTTTCTTATAGGATCATTTTAAATTGGTGCTTGAAGATATTAGAAAATTATTTATTGATCATACAAAAACAGCAATTAGTTTACCAGATCTTTATGACGGTCAAGATTTATCTAAACAATGGTTAGAATTATTAATTGATGGTCAAGGTAGATTTTATTTATTTTATAATAATAAAAATTTTAATTTTTTTATTTTGGAAATCTTTAGAAAATCCAGTTTTATATGAATATATCGATTGTATTAATAATGATTGTTTATCGCCAATAACCGATGAAATTGAAATTCTTTATAGTTCTGTCTTTCGTCATATGTATAAAATGATTCAACCATTTGATTATTTTTCTACTGAACTTATTACATATATTGATGCATTAAAATATTTAGCAAAATGGTCCGGACTTGTTCGAGTATATTTTTTAAAACAAGCATATACTATTTCATTAAATTTTCTTTTTTTCTCTTTTAAGATCATCTTTCGATTATCTCATCCAAAAACTGTATCTAATCGTTCTATGCAAAATCTTTTTGGATCATCAGATGGTGGTCGTGCATTTGAAGATACATTAGTTGGTAGTCTTCTTTCAAAATCATGTTTACCTTCACTACCTGGAAAACCTTATTTATTCTTTGAAAAACCGAAAGTAATGAGCGAACATGATGTTGATTTAACAGCTAAAACAATGTGGCAAGTAAGATTAACAAATATTATTCATTTTAAACTATAATTATGGATCTCAGTGAACGAGTCGTTCGAAAAAAAAGATGTTCCCATGTTGGTTGTTATGATGCTGCGATGTATGTACAGTATAAAAGAAGAGATGATGAAACTTTTATTTCGAGAAGGATATATCAGCTACATACATTGTTAGCCCTTATGATTACAATATAAAATTTAGTGAATCAGTTAAAGACTTGGTAATACTATTTGAATAAGTCTTATTATACTTTTTATTAATCTGATGTAGATAGTTCAATCATTTATGACTGGTGTGAATTATTAATTACGAATAAAAAATGTTAGCCTATGTTGAAAGAAGTTGATCTAAACCAAAAATATCAAATAATTGTCAGTAAAGATGAACGAGCAAGAAACATTTGGACTTGTAAATTTTTGAATTGTTTCAATTTTATTGACAATCAATATTTATATCCAATGCAAAGTTTTCAATCGTGTATGTGCTAATTGGTACTCATTAGAGAAACTCATTCAAACTCTAAAGATTTACATATAGGCCGTGTCCACTTTTCATTTAGATTTGATTCTTTACGAGAAGTATTTTTCTGAATAAGTTTTTTTTTTATCACTAATCACATATAAGAAAAAATCAGACTACTTTAAGATGGACTCTACAATATGAATTTCATCTACGAAGATATTTCCAGGAAGATCGAACCTCAAAAGACTTAATGTAAAAAACAGTTTATGAAAGATTTTAAAGATTCGTCATTAATTTAGAGCTTCTCATTGGATTATAAGAGCGTTTATTTTTTGTTTGTTTAGTCGTATTCCATCACATCGCTAACGAAAAATTTAGACATGTTTAGAATATACTTTTGACTAGAGACTTGGTAGCATCAGAAATTGTCTACATTTTCTTTAACGAAAAGAATCTGTTTGTAATTGTTATTCTTGTATATTTAAGCCAATGCGAACATATCAACAAAATTTATCTGATTTATTTTTGGCATTTGTAAAAAATGGTGATGTACGTAATGATATATTAAAATGGATTGGTGATTGTTTAGTAGAAAATCGAGGTAAATTAAGTATTTAATCAATAAAATAAAATATTTTTCTTTTTTTTTTTTATGTTTTTAAGGCAAAAATAAAGAATGGTCATCACATAGTCTTTTAACTGCTTATGTATTTGTTAGTGATGGATTTTTATTGAATTTAAATCTTATTTTACTTAATCTTGCACGACCTTTTTGTGAACCATATTCATCAAAATTATTAAAAATTAATCCTATTTATGTAATTAGTCAAAATGAAAATGTTCATTTAAAAGGTATATTTTTTTTTCTTGTTTATATGAAAGAAATGATATATACTAAATTGTTTTTACGTTATAGATCTTTATAAAGATACACCAATAATTGTTCGTGATGAAGAAAATACTAATGAAAAAAATAATACAATAACATTTAATTTTATAACAGAAATTTTTTTTATGTCACATCTAAGTTATTCATGTTCAGTACAAAGACTTCATCGAAAGCTATTAAAAGTAAATTTATTTAACAAGATTTTATAAAAAAAAAAAAAAAGTATTTTATTTAGATTAATGAAGAATTATCACAAGTACAACATGCATATAATGATGCTACTAGATTAAATGGAGTTAATGATGAAAATGTACAAAGATTAGAAGATGCAATGGAAAAAGGTTGATTTTTGGATGAACTCAATATTTTTTTTTTAATAAGATTCGCATCTTGAAGTTGAAAAAATGAGAGAATACGAGAAAAAAAGTTTAATGGCAAAGTAGAAATATCCATAAAATAAAAGATATTTATATTGTGAGTTTGTTCATTGTTAAAAATAGATAATCAATCTATAATCTTAGTCGTTGAAGACAAAGAAAAAATTTTTTGGCAGATTCTAATTCATCTGACTCATAATTTTTTGTGTAATTCTATTTCACTAGTAATGAAAAATAAGTTATTGTTGATATATAGTTTAATATTTGAATACTGACTTAGGATCAATCAGTTCAAAGTTTCGATCAGAAAACGATTTCAAAGCTCTTTCTAATCTAAACTTGTCGATCTCAAGTTCTAAGACTCAACAAAAATTAGTTTCTATGTCCCTAGCTGCCCTAAAATAAAAAGGATTTGAGCCTAGCTTACGAAGCGTGAATCTATGTTAGACTTGATTCTCGGATCTGCGCCATTTATGAGTACAAGATTCATGCGTGAAAAAAAGATATAAATAGTTTGTATTTTCTTGCTTGTTACTTGCTCTATCGATAGAAGGAAAGATAATTAATATTTTTCTTCTTGCGCATTGTTATCAATAGATTAAAAATAGATGAATTGGTTACTTTATGTCATAGTGACCTAATAGAGTTGTTTGTTTATTTAAACGACATGATGAAAACAAAAATTTTTGATAAAAAAAAAAAAAAACATTTTAATTGAATAGTTTTATCTTATGAAATATAGCCATTCAAAAGAAATGACAAAACTTTTTCCGTATCACCAATGATCACATTTTTCTATATAAATATTTCTCAAGTCAATTTTGATTTTAAATATAGACACACTTGTAAATTAGATTTAGCATGATGATAATATTCTTATACTTTGTTTTTGTGTTTTTATTCAAGGTCTTACTGCTTTTCTTAATATAAAAACTGTACTTAATGAACCATGTCTACTCGAATTATCGAATGCTTTATTTACTGCCAGTTGTTCATGGCTTGTTCATCTTGCATCATTATCTGATCAAATCGAAAATGTAGAAACAATACAAATGATTAAACAATTACCACTAATATCGAAACCAAATCGACAATTAAGTTATATTCCGGAATTTATCATGGAAAATATAACAGATTATTTAAGATTTCTTGGTCGATTCAATGTACAATTATTTGAAGTAATTTTATTTGTTTTTTTTTTTTTTTTGTTTCTAATATTAAAAATTTTTCTATTTTTCAAAAAACAAAAAGTCTCTTTCAAATGTTAATGAATATGTTACTCTTGTTCTTGTATTTATGGGTGATGCAAGTCGTTTACGTAATCCTCATTTACGTGCTGCATTAGCTGAAGCATTTGAAGCTATTTTACCAAATAAACAAAATGGTGGTGGTCGAACATTAAATAGGTTAATAGAATCAATTTGTTTAATTAAATTTTATGTTTAATATTATTAGTGCATTTGCTGAAACTATTTTTACTCATCATCCTTTAATTGAACATTTACCACGTGTACTTCTTGATGTATTTGTATCAATTGAATTAACTGGACAAGCCGTAGCATTTGAACAAAAATTTAATTATCGTCGTCCAATGTATGAAATATTAGAATATCTTTGGAAATTTGATAAACATCGAGAACAAGTGAAAGTTAGTTAATAGTTTCTTTTTTTTTAAATATTATCAAAAATTTCAATTTTTGGTTTTTATTTTAGAAACTTGCATCCTATGCAGAAGAACATATTGATGATGCTGAAGCTCCACTTTTCTTACGTTTTATTAATTTACTTATGAATGATGCAAATTTTTTATTAGATGAAGCTTTATCTGTAATTATTCATAAAAAGAGAAGAAGAATCGTTAAATGATGAAATCCGTGCTCACATAGAGTCATAATCCACTTTGAATTATATATTTTTTGATAGGTTTTTGTAAAGTTTTACAAAATGATTTTATTATTCTGAATTTAATTTATGACTAAAATAGTTCAGACAAACATACAATGTTCATGAGTGTCAAAAATTCTCAATTTTTGACTAATCTTTGACAGGTTTCAGTTAGGATAATCAAACTATTCATTAGAACAAATAATATATTTTTTATTAGCATTAACAGCTAAGTCGATCTATGTATGTCAAAAAAGTCAATCAAAACATTAGTTTGACTACGAAAAGTTATTTCTAAATTTTTTTTTTTTTTGAAATCTATAATAATTGATGAGTAAATAATAAAAACCAATGTTTTAATTAATTTGATTTTTTGACAAGACCAGTGTTGAATTCCTTGGACGTTTTTTGTAATACATGTAGATCAGCTCAATTTTTTGTGCTGATTAAAAATCTTTAACACTATACATTTGACTAAAACTGTCTTTGTGGATCTTTTACTTTCATCATTCAATAGTGAATGAGTTTTATCATGAATGTATTCAAATTGTATATACCAGTGAACAATGTTACCTAAAATAAAATGGAAAGAATCATATTTTATATACCTTTGACAGAATAAAGAAAGAGCTTTCATTTGCTATATGATTCAAATTCAAAGAGAGTTAAAAAATTTTCATATACAACATGAATTGCGTAACACTATAGAAGATTGACAACATCGATTAACTTTTAGGAAAATAATAAACTCAATTTTGAAATGAGAACTGATTTTATCACTTAACAATTCCTTCGTTATATTGAATATTATGATGTATTTTATTTAGCATATGACTCGTTTAAAAGAAAATCAAGAAGCCATGGATCGTGGTGAATGGAATAGTATGCCTCCTCAACAAAGACAAGATCTTGAAAATACATTTCGACATACAGGTCAAATGGCTCGATATACAAATATTATGGGTCTTAAGACAGTAAATAGAATAAAATATGTTTTTGAAAAGAAGAAATTCATTTTATTGTTTCAGTTAATTATTCTTGATATGATAACACAAAATATTCAATCAATATTTTGTCAACCAGCTATTTGTGAACGACTTGCTTTAATGCTTAATTATTTTCTTCAACATTTGGTTCGTTCTTTGTTTTTTTTTTATATCATATTAGTTTTGTTTTATTAAATAATATTTAAGGTTGGACCTAAAAGACGTAATTTAAAAGTACGAAATCTAAGTGAATATCAATTTGAACCACAAAAACTTGTTGCAAAAGTAACAGATATTTATTTAAATTTTTCTCAACATGATGAATTTTATGCTGCTGTATGTAATGATGGAATGTAAGAAAATGCATTAGATCAAAAGAAATTTAAAAGAAACAAAAAATTTTTTTTTTTTATTATTTAAAGGTCTTATAATGAACAATTATTTCCACAAGCAGTTGAAGTACTTGATCGTATTGGACATCCAAGAGAAAGAATTGATGCTTTTCTTAAACTCACTGAACATATTAAAGTAAGTAATAAATTATTAATGAAATTTTTCTTTCTAAATTCTCTTTTTGGAAATGGCCACCTTTCGGATATTAAAAAGCAATTGTTTAGAGCCTGAGAGTTCGAATAGTTTGCAATTTTCGATAATATACGTTCCAATTTTCTTTTACGGATAAGATGAAACGACTATCAATAAGTTTTATGAAAAAGTCCATAATTGTGTCTGTACAAAGTTAAAAAAAAAAGGCCATTCTGGTTCAATCAACAAAATCTGTTATGTAAGATAAAATAGGAAAGTAAATAACACAACTTGTACAGCAAACTTTGCTCTAGAAAATTGAGCCATTAAAACCGTTTTCAGATTTTGAAGCTTAATAGGTTTTAATTGAAATAAATAATTTATTAAAATAGTGTTCTATACAAACATTATTTTAAGATTTTTTTTTTAAAACAATCTGATGATAGTTATTCAATCTTCACACATACTCATGACCGTAGATACAATCGATCAAGTAATCCTTGATTGATGTACCTATCTCATGACTGTCTAAACTTGCGGTTTACTAAATAGTGTAATTATAACTATAGCTTTCTGTTGTATTTGTTTCTAATATTTAAAAAAAAATTCAGAATATTTTTTATTCCTTCACAGTTGATATTTATTGGTTTCAACACTACATTTCTTATCTGATAGTTTTTAACATTTTAAATCTGTTTACCCATACGTACAGAAGTTTATCATGATCATCGTCATGATCGTGGCTAATATTGTTTAATTAAACCGTATTAGTTTTTTCACAATACAAATAGCTTCATATTTTTAACTTTTTGAGATAATTTATTGGTTATTTTTGTTTTTTTGAATCAAAACAACTAGCCATAAATGTTACGGAAGAAATTAGAGCTTAAAAATTCTGAAAAGTTTTTTCAGAATAAATTAAAGTTGAGACAGTGAGGATTTGTAATTTTTTTTGGAAGCTTAAACTTTGCTTAAGTTCTAAGTTCTTCAATGATAAAAATATCACAACAACCGTCGAACATATTAAAAGGACATATATTTGTTACAAATTCAGTTAAAACGAAAATACATGTATATATTACTATTCTATTGAATGGAATCAAATTAATCAAGAAGATATTTATGGGAAACGAGTCTTTTACAGTAAACGTTAAAGAAAAACTCTGTAGTCAATCTTACTATAGATACTAACAGATATAGTTTTCTTCATGTTCGATCTAATCTAATCGATCGTTCGAATATTGAAGATAATCATGTTTTTAATACGTCAAATTATGTTTGATTGATGCTTTCTTCTTCTAGAATGTTGCTGCACAACAAAAAGAAAATGATGCAGCATATGATGATGCACCAGATGAATATCTTGATCCAATCACAAGTACTCTAATGATTGATCCTGTTATGTTACCTAGTTCTCGACAAATTATCGATCGTGCAACTATTGCTCGACATCTTCTTAGGTATTAAATATATAAATTTTTTATTACAGTCTAAATTAACATTTATATTATATTTCAATATAGTGATCAAACAGATCCATTTAATCGAAATCCATTACGTATGCAAGATGTTATCCCACAAACGGAATTAAAACAAACGATCGAACAATGGAAGACATCACGACGTCAACAACAGTCATAAACATATTTTAATTTATGCATTATGTGTTTTATTTGTTTTTTTTTTAATTAAACAAAAAAAATATGTATAAGTTCTTGTTCAATTTAAAAAAGAAAAAGAAAAAAAAAAAACAACCAATCCCGCAAATGTATTTTGTTTGAAATATTTTGCAGATTATTTATATCTATTTTTCTCGTTCAATTTATGGACACACCACTTATTCGTGATCTTGCTCAATGGACGAATAGTTTCTTTAAATCAATTGGGTTTGAATTATTTTTATTCTAATTAATATATTCTAGTCTCTTAATTTAGACTTAAACAACTTCCTCCATCACCACCACCACCTCCACCACCTGTAGCAGCAAAATCTTTGGTTTCAAGTTCAATGTTATCATCAACTACGAACAATTTTATTCGTTGTGCTGGTTTGTCTGGTGCATCGGCTATTTGTTTAGGTGTCTATGGAGCTCATATGATGAAAGACAATACATCCGATGACCTTAGACGTGTAAGTTGATAAATAATTTTATACTAGTTTTTTTATTTTTTTATCTCTTATTGATTTAGTTATTTGAATTGGCACAAACATATCATTTACTACATTCAGTAGCTTTACTTGGTTTACCATTAGTTTCTCGACCAATGGTTACTGGTTCTTTATTTCTCGGTGGTATGGTACTTTTCTGTGGTCCAATGTATTTTCATGCTATTCGTAATGATACGCGATTTCGTCCTATAACACCATATGGTGGTATTCTTCTCATTGCTGGATGGTTGTCTATCATTATACTTTGAAGAAAAAAGCATATTTTTTTTTGATTGACTATATCAGTAGAAAAGAACATAGTTTGAAATATGAAGCAGTTGAAAAAAATAAATTATAAGTCATGATTTTTTTTTCTATTGGTTGTATTTACATAACAAAAAATTTTATACAAGCATACTAGATAGAAAAATTACATACATGTTCTTTGAGAACGGATGCGTTAAAATTTTTTAAATAAAATATTTTTTACATTTATCAACAGGTTACAAAGATCAACCGAAAGTATTAAACATTTGATTAGAATTAGAATTTTTGTAAGATTTATAGGTCAAGAATTATGAGCAATATCTTTGAAAGGCTTGAAAATAAAGTTTGCGTAATTTTCAGTGCTTAATAAAATGTTCATCATAGAAATAAAATTTATTTTAAATACATCAATAGAAAGAGCATCAACAATAGGACAACGAAATGATAGAAGCATTCTTGATCAACAAAAAAAGTACTGATGTTCACAAATTTTTCATAGTGCTTGGATATTTGAGAACATGGACATCACAGTGAACTTCTACACAATCGAACTATATTATCGTATTGAAATTGAGAAGATGTTGATATCACTTTGAGATGTAGGTGTGAATAGAAGATCAAAATTTCAAGTACAGCCACAGATTCATCCACACTACAACCAACGTTTATTTGAGAATCGTCGATAATCGGATAAGGATTTTCTCTCAGACATCTATATCGAGCAAATCCTAAAGCAGCTTTAGCTGTGACAATTAATACATAAAAAACGGGCAAGTCACAATAAAAAATAACTTTCAAACTTACACATGGATGTTGGCTCATAATATCGGCTGGTAACACTGATTAATTTCTAAAGAGTACTTTAGGCCAAAACTCTCGGGGGCAGTCGTGCATTTTTCTCTTGATTTTTATCAGTTATTTGTTGGAAAGATATCAAGCATTTCTGTCTTGCAAGAATTTATATATTTTATACGTGTATCTTGAAACAATGACAAGGTAGATTCATGTACCTACGCTTTCATGATATGTTTCGCTAAATATTGTGAACTTTTGAAAGTTTCTGATAAAGTTCTGTAGCTTATTGTTTTGATACATTCTTTTTTTATGTCTGAAGTTTTCACAAATAAAGAAATTCAATATTTTGGAAACCTAAACATGCCTCTCTCAAAGATGATCTGTACTACAAGTCGTTTTTAAACAATCCAAAAGTTGGTTCTAACTTATCGGCATGTTCATATATTTGAAGAAATTAATAGTCGTCATTATCTGAGTCACTGCTCCCTTTCACTATCTCATTTGACAGGCAAATGACAAATATGTTGTTATCCTGAATGCTGTTCTTCATTAAACAAACTTACTTTTATGCAATGGAAGATATCATTAAGAAAAAATTTCGTCAAAATTAACAAGAATTGACTCACATATAGTTGTTATTATTTGCAACTATGCGTCATTTACAGTAAGTTATTTCCATATTTATTAGATGTTATTTTTTTGTTCTAGAACCTTGGCTACTGCTATTGCGCCAATTTTAGATAGTTTCATAAAAAATTTTTGATGCATTGAATCAATTTAGATCTAATCGAAAAAGTCGAGCGTTTCCTTTTTGAATAATTATTCAATTTGCTATTTAATAACTAACAACTTAAAAATAAAATAGTATAGAAATGAAAGCTTTTGTTTGGAGATTTTTGTATGTAAATATGTTATCGAGTAACAGCCACTGAAAATTAAACTCGACAATAATGATTGAATAAGAATACATAATTTAAGATCTTTCAATTTTTATATCTAAGTAGTACTGATCAAGAATATTTGTTATTCTTTCATTCAATTTTTCTTTTGCATTTTAAAACACATTCTATTATTATCTTGAGCATTTCATTAAGTGCAAAAAAACTCGCGAATGAATCTTACGTCTTATTCTTATATTTTATTTTCAGGATTTGCCTTTATTATACCTTCTCTATTTTATTTTCATTTTCTATTATGTATCCTCTTTTGAGCATCTGATAATTATGATAAATTCTATTGATCGCTTAATACATTCGATGCGATGAGACCTATTGGTGAGTCTCACTATATTATAACAAAAAGCTTAATAGAAAACACTTTCTTTGACCTCTTTCTTAGGTGGCAGGTTACACATAATATGCCATCTGCTTTGCCTTCGCTATTTTTTGAATCATTTATTGCATCACATGATGTGTCTCACTAAAACAATCAAGACAAAAAAAATCTGTCACAATTAGAACAAAAAGTTTTATTTTCTATACTGTCGCCAGGCTCACTTCTTTTGATTGTTGTTGCCTGAATTTCTCGTAATAGCTAGCACAGCGTCTTTGGGGATTACGGGCAGATCCTTTCTTGTCTTCAAGTTCGTGACCCGTTAGTTTGCGCTTCGAATGACTTGTTAACTGTTGTCTCAGACCAGGCCTTAGGTTCTTAAATGACACACCAAGGAGTAAAGATTTCACAAGACTTTCGCGAAACTGCAGAATGGTCCCTTTGCTTGTGGCATAGTTTTCCTTGTATATCAAATAGCTATTAACTAGTGCCATCCCAACAATCAATTCAAATGCCACCTTTCGGTACCACTTTAATGACCGTCTGAGATATGTATGGTATGCTGATAGCTGGTCAAATAGATCCCTACCTTGTCTTCCTTTATTGTAATCTAATATAATTTGTGCTTTCATAACGCGCTCATTTTGAATATTGGTGTTTTTCCAGTGTCTATCACAGTTGCTGAATGCGACGGTCTTGCGAATATTATCAAAACGTCTTTTTTGTCTTTCTACATGTTCAAATTTATGCCGTCTTAATTCTGAAGTCCATAAACTTCACGACCTTTGAGCTTTTTTCTGAAGAACTTCGTTTCCCTATCTCGCACGTACTACCTATAACATGTAAAAGAACGAAAACGTAAGTTGAGCGATTATTCAGTTGGTCGCAAAAAAATAACCTATCGTGTAGTGATATAAAGAAGAGAACAATACATAATCAGTAGAAGATAATGAGAAGATCAGTAAGTGCATTTATTAGAAGCTAACTGTCCATGAAAATGAATATCTCAAAGAAGGTTTTTAAGAAAACTGAATCGCGTCGAATGTATTAAGTTAGGCACGTATAGAATGAAAATTCAACATGGGCTAACCGATAGAATCTTGGTCGTAGAGATATATTTGTGCTAGAATGTGGCATTATATATATATTAAATTAATTTGTTAGTAGGCTTTTTATAGAAATTCCTTCTAGTTTTTTTGTTTATCACGTAAGTTAGAAAAAGCCTTTTCTTCTTCTTGAGAAGCTTTTAATGGTATTACTTGAATGGAATGAAATTCAATTTAATAAAAAACAAACTAATGACGAACAATAAAAGAAAAAGAGTATGGCTGCCTTTTAGTAGTTATAACAAAGTTGTGGAAATTAATAAGTCCCATCTGCAACACAAGAGAAAACTCTGTTGAAGAAACGATCTACTCAACGTAATACATTATTTATCTCACTCTTCTATAAATTAATTAATATCTCGATAAATTGAAACTTAGATTAGTATATTTACATGAAAGTGTGACTAGCTTTCAAGGTTTTGAGCTGAAAATCATAAAAGACTCAAATCAATATAATTGTTGGACATTTAATATTGTGAAAAATTCTTCCAAAATCTTCAAGATCATTTGCATATTTTGAACAGTCTTTTTATTTAAAAAATTTTTAAATTCATGATACTCAATAGAAGACCTCGTCCTTGAAAAATTTCTATAGTTGAACTTGGTAAAAGGCTCGGAGTCTTCGAATTCGGAAGAGATTTTCATTAAAAATTTAAGCCAATGTAGATTTGTCTCATCATGAGAATATATTTCGATTAAGGCATTTCCTTCTCTCCCCTCAAAAATCGATCTCAGACCAGAAACTATGACGTTTGAGGGAGATGTTGGCCAAGACAAAGTCAAACATAGCTCATTTGGCAAACTAAAATTCTCTGTTCAGGTTCGTTCTTTATATTTTTAATTTTTTTGTTTGAAAGAGCCTGTCACGATGTAGGACACCACAGAGTTCTCTTTTTCAAATTCTTACTTTTTAAGCGGAAAGAAGTAATCACAAATTCAGTGACTTAAAAAAGCCCTAAAAAATGGCGCCGTTTCTATAAAAGTGTGTTCTTATATTATAATAGAAAAAGCTTATTTAAAAACAAGGACTCTGTGAGGCCTTTCATTTTGCCGTGCTTTTTCCAACAAGAACTAATTTTTAATATATTACACGAACCTGGCCAAAGAAATTTGGGTTGCGCGTTTGACATATCGTAAACTAAGAATTCTCGGAAAAAAACGAGATGCAGAGTAAAAATTTTTGCCGTCTATGAGAGATCAAATCACGGACTATTTTCCTGTGTATTTATCTAAATTTCAACCATTCTGATGAAAAATGACTTTTTTTTTTAGGGAGAAGACTTTAACAATCTTCTGTTCGATACTGTCTATTGATTATTACAACACATATCTCTTATATTTATTTATACATAGTAAAGCTTCTATCAATGAATCTCTCACTTAGGTGAACATCTTCGATTTTTGAAGAAGGACTAGGTCCTACGAAATGATTTTTTGCTGAAAATGCATTTTCCGTAGGTGAACGCTCTCTATTGTGAACTTGAACATCGTCTTTTACAGTTTCAATTGCTAATTTAACTTCTTTTAAACGAACATATATGTACCTTCCTCTTCTTCTCCTATTCATCATTTTCGGATAATGTCATAAAACTGCTGTTCATTTATTTATTACAAACTGTTAAATATCATACAATACGATCTTATATTAAACAATAATATTCAAACAATTAATGACAACAAGGATATTAATGGAAAATCGAATATTTCAAATGATACTGTATCCATAAACAAGTAAAGAAGCTTATATTCTGAAATTTTTCTTGCGAAGATATTCTTTTAATAGAAGTTTTATTGTATACAGTTTATTTGTTTGATTTTTGCAAGAATGA